GGAGACCTGATCTTGCAATTGTGATTGCTGAGTATGTTTTCTGAATTCTGCTAGGGTAAGGTCGTCAACATATTTCCATCTATTTGGGGTGAAATCTGCAGCATCATTGATCATGATCAGAAAAAGGATTGGGCCAAGCTTGGTGCCCTGTGGGACACCACATGTTATGGATTGAACTTGAGAGGTAATGCCACCAAGGCGGACAGTTTGGGATCTGTTACTCAGGAAGTCACACACAACGGAAATGACAGATTTACTGACACCCATATTTATCATCTTAGTTACTAAAACGGTATGATCGATAGCATCAAATGCTTTGGCATAGTCAACTGTGCAAATTGATGCAATCGTTCCCGATTTGTCAGTTTCACGCAAAATACAATCAACCAGGCTGAGGAGGTAATGTACAGTGGAAGAGCCTCTGACACTGCCAAACTGACGGGGGTCTATATGATCGGCAATATCACGTCTAATCCACTCCACAAGAAACTCCTCAAAGACACGAGCAAAGACTGGTGTTACAGAGATAGGACGTAACTGATCCAGAGAATTGCATGGGTTTACTTTAGGAATCGGAATGATGTTACCGATTTTCCAATACTCTGGAAACATACCCGATTGTAGACAGGAATTGAAAATGATAGATAATGGTACAGATAATTCGACAGCAAACTCACGAACAAGTCTCAAAGGAATATCATTAGTATGAGATGACTTTGAGATCTTCAGTTTCTTCAATTTATTGTACACTTGGTAAGGTTGGGTTTCCGGTGGTGAATCAGCTGGCAAGTACGCCGGAAGAGACTTGCGATCCAGGGGTGGTAGGGAGGAACAGACATTCGCAAAGTGGGAGTTTATCCAGTCAGCCTGCTCGGCGGGTGCCATATGAGATCCAGGTAGTTTATTTGATGTCTTTTTTACACTAGTAATGTTACGGATCTCCTTGTACCATTTCCCAGGTTGTGATTTCTTCAGGTGTGACACCTTTCCAAGGAAGAATTTGCTCTTGGTAGCTTTAATTTCCCACTCTACTTGTTTTCTGAGTTGGCTATAACGTGGAAGGTTTCCTGATTGATAGGCAACTTGGCGTTGGTCGATCAGAGAACGAATACGATTGTTCATCCAAGGCTTATCATCTTCTCTCCGTACAAATGTAATCTGAGGGAAGCATCTCTCATAAGCCGTGGTTAGCTCATCTTGAAATGATACCTGCATATCAGCAGCATTTTCAAGATCAAGTAGCCAACTCCAATCTACAGAGGTCAGCCATTATCTTCTCTCATGCTATGTTCACTCTCTCAACTTTAGTGTCTTTTGTTCCTTCTTTCATGTTCATCCTATGGTTCAGTACAATCAGAACAGGTCATTTATATGCACACAAATATATGTATATTCATGTCTCCCTTACATTTACAAGCTCTGTTATTTGAATATTGTGATAAAAATGTACATGTTAATATAGATATGCAAAGTAAGCCCCTGAGGTTGCAAGCATGCATGCAAGTTGTTTTAGAGGAGTTCCATGTAACATTTGATCATACAAATGGGACATATGGTAATAGCAGGCAACTATATATATACAGAAACATTATACATAAACAAGCACTGACATTCTTTGCTATCGAATAAGATATTGACAATAACTTAACATCAAATCAAACATGTAATTCACAACAAGAAAAAACACCCTTGAAAATAGTATAAAAACCTGCCTCTTTACCTGAATTCCCCCCCCCCCCTCACACATAATCCTGGTACTTGCTTTAGACAACTTCTCCAAATAATCAATTTTTAAAAACTTAGACCAAATATGTTTAAACAGTGCATCCCAGAAAAAACGAAACCGAGAATTATTGATGTTTTATTATAACTTATTCACATTTATAAATAAATGACACATATTTGGAAAGCTTAGATCCTCTTTTTTCATTTGATGCAACGCATATGATGCATATTTCACGCATGAGTGATTAAAATCAATTTGAAGAGAGGAAACCAAAAAGTCATTTGGCGGATGGTACCTGAATTTCAAAGAGAAAGTAGAGTTTCTGCCCTTTCATATGACACCTCAATCAGGAATAATGAGCAAGGAATGACAAAGTTCTGTTTGTTTAATGTAGTGCTTGCATTTCCATAATTTTATCAAACGAATTTATTTTCACTGGCTGCCTGCCGTAGCAAAAAGCAGAATTGACAAAAGACTTAACTCCGTTTCGTTAACAATCTGCCATGCATGAAGTCTTTCATCTACGGCTGATTGTCAACGAAACAGAGTTAAGTCTTTTGTAAATTCCGTTTGTTGCTGCAGCAGGCAGCAAGTGAAAACAAATTCATTTAATCAAATTATGGAAACTCGCGAAAGGGGCGCCTTTGGCGGCCTTTCGCTCCATGTAACTTGAAAGAGTTTGATTTGTCGACCTAGTCTAAACCACTCCAAAGCATAGAGAGTCAATGCTAATGCTATTGACCTTTAACGGCTGATTGTCAACGAAACAGAGTTAAGTCTTTTGTAAATTCCGTTTGTTGCTGCAGCAGGCAGCAAGTGAAAACGAATTCATTTAATCAAATTATGGAAACTCGCGAAAGGGGCGCCTTTGGCGGCCTTTCGCTCCATGTAACTTGAAAGAGTTTGATTTGTCGACCTAGTCTAAACCACTCCAAAGCATAGAGAGTCAATGCTAATGCTATTGACCTTTAACGCTGCAAACGTGCTAATTGGCAGCAATTGTACACATGAATAGTCAATACACACACAACACACAAATGCATGCAATAAATACGATGTGGTTGATCGGCAAGTTTGACAGTAGACTTACAATTTGAATTTTAAAATTATTCTTTTTAACATTGGTAAGTTGAATTAATTGTATTTTACTGCTATTTAGGTGTCATCAATTTATTGTTACTAAAGTACCGATTTTTGTGTGAAATCAGTTGAGTTTTGTACAGTGGTGTTTGAAATGTTCAAGTGAGAATCAGCACAGCTAGGATAGATCTAGGCCCTGTAGGCCCTTGCTTCTCTCTCGGTCCAGTTCCTGAGCTACCACGGCACTGTCGTAATTTTATTGACAATTGTACAATTATATTTGAATAAGGTAGATTTATATCTACTTACCAAATGAGCGAAGCTTTAATATAAAGTAAAGGAGTAATAACATACATGAAAAGAGTTGTAAAGGGTACATGAGCATTTGTCTACATCAATAACCCACTTCTTGTGATGGCCAAGATTAAACTGATTGAATCTTTGCGCAGCATAAAACGTATGACCATTCGGTACAATTGTCTGAAATTCAAGACTATTTCTTTTGGGCTATATAGCCCTAAAGTCGATTTGACAAATAATAGTTGTTTTTTTCCCACTTGAAGACATTTTCAAGCCCCACCTTTGTTAGGGAAGTTCTAAATTAATATTATCTTTCAAATGCAGTTGGAATTTAACTTTTTCATTTTTTTGGCCTGCAAATGGGACATAGTCCTTTTAAACAAAACAAAAAATCCCAGAAAAAAATCATAAATTGCCATGACAATATTCATTTTCATGTTCACTGTTTCAGAGGTAGTTTTCGGCCGCATGTACAAAGTCAATAGGAAGCAAGCAAGCAAGCGCGCCGTGCGTTGCCCCGCTGGTCTATAGCACTGGCGGCCGGGGCAGGTATCCCACGCCGGAGCTCGGCGTGCCCAAAACTACCCCTGCGGTGATCAGAAATTGGAATCTGAATTAGACAGAGATATGGTGTGTGTGCTGTGGTATTTGGCTGCATTGATTTAATACATGCGATGAGATACTTTTGAGCTTGCGACTCACAAATAATCGTGCACTGAATCTGAAAAATACTTGAAATACAGTTCATTTTATGGTACCCATATTCCTTGCAAACACGTGTAAGATACTCGATTTTTCAGATTTGAGTAGCGGGACCGCCGATTACAACGCTAAAATGTGATATATTTTCCATTGCAAATGTGGTTCTTCAGTGACTCTGGCATGTTATGGTATGTGTGGGATATGTAAAATGCTAGCACTTCTGTACTGTGCGCGTGTATAGAGGGAGGCACCAGCAAACGCCAATGGTCTTGTTGCTTTATATTGTTCAGTTATCCGTGAAAAGTTGCAGACGAAATCCCATAGACCAGTCCAGAAATTTTCACCCGCGGAACCCTTCCTTTATACATGCTGATATATAGCTACTACCTCATACGAGAGAAGATACATGATGAAGGTATCGCTAATAATCCTCAATTTCAATTTGAAGTGTGTACATTCGCTGCTCAGCGCAAGTACAGATATCCGTTGCCATCCTCTTTCATGAACTATTTTGAGTTTTTATATTTCATTTTGAGATTTCAAACAACTTATTTTAAAAATCCCAGCCTTTAGAACAATCTGCAGTCATAACAAATGACACGTGGCATTTTTTCAGCCGGAGACGTGCAGCGCACCCTAAAAGTTTTTAAGCTTCAATGGATTTCCTTACTCAAATTATAATATAGATGAAAGCACTAATTTAAACAAACAGCACTTTGTTATTCCTTGCTCATTTTTCCTGATTGAGGTGTCATATGAAAGGGCAGAAACTCAACTTTCTAGAAATGTGATTTTCTTTATGAAATTCAGATACCGTCCGCCAAATGACTTTTTGGTTTCCTCTCTTCGAATTGATTTCAATCACTCATGCATGAAATACGCTTCATATGAGCTCCATCAAATGAAAGAGGAGGATCTAAGCTTTCCAAATATGTGTCATTTATCAATTATAATTGTGACTAAGTTATGATAAAACATCGATAATTCTTAGTTTCATTTTTTGGGGGACGCACTGTATTAGCACTGCCAGAGCCATCAGAAAAGGAAGAGGGTGGGGCCAAAATCATGTTGTTAGCCTTCTCTTTATGCATTGTAAAATGACAGTACCATCTGGAGTGCCGGAATAATCTAATACTTAAAATAGTTTGAGTACCATGAAAGAAGAGATGAGTGAGAAGAAAGAAGAGGATACCTTGATATAGAGCTCTGTAGAGTCTGGTAACTGATTAGCAGCTAGGCTCAATGCTTGGTTATAATACTCCTCTGCTTTCAAGATTGAGAAAGTACTCTCTATGTTAGCCTGGTCTAGGAGGTCCTGCACCTTCTGGATGGGATCCACCTATATTCAATAGAACATTACATGAAAAAAGTCTTTATCAAAGCTGTTGTGCTGTGGTCTAGTGAATAAGTCTCTGGACTGCGAGCCACAAGTTATAGGCCCGAATTCACAAAGGAGGTTTAACCCTATTTTAACCGGGCTATTTCAGACCAGGTAAGATCTCAGCCGTTTCACAGCTGATCGCCGCGGAAATTTGCATGCATGTCAAGTGAAGTGTATAGAATACTATGGCAATTTAAATTTGTTGAAAAATTCACTCATTTGCATATTTATGGTAATTTGTGCAAATAAGGTCATTAAATTCACATTTTTACCCATAAATCATATATTATTCATATTTAAGCATTCTTTTTCACTACATACATGTATATTCATTAGACCATTTGGATTAATAATACAATTTTTTTTTTTGGAAGATCCAGGTTATTCCTTATGTTATCTCTTGATTTGATAATTTCTTACTTATTTCAATGTTTTTTTTAACTTATGTATTTTATTGTTTCTGTTGTTTTATTTCATTTCCAACTACAATTCAACTATTTTGACTCCCAAAACAAACACCTAAACTTTAAACAAGACCAAGTAACCAATTTTTTATCTCTTTTTAGGAAAAATGATTTTTCTATATGTTTTGTACACAAATCACAAAAATGAGCGATTTTCGGGCTGACATGCAAAGACAAAAGGTCACGTGACTTTGTAACTATACTAGGCCCGTTTCGAGTAAACGTTTAATAGTATACCCGCCCGGTAAAGCCAGTAGTCGAATAATGAACTTGATAACCAAAGGACATCGCCTAAAAAGAGTCTAAATGGATGTGAAATAGAAATCTGTCACAATAATTCTACTTTCTAAGACATTGTCAAGGAAGTTTAAATAAATCAAATTCCTACCTACATGTATAACCTTAACTAAGAAGCAAACAACTAACGAGGTGATGAGTTTCAGGGGTACCGAGCGTGCGCTTGAAGATACACATGCCCTCAATCTTTAAATCCCAAATTCTGACCTCTGCTCAAACCAAATCAATCAAAAAATGAATACTTTAATTGTGATAATATCGGACAAATTTTACAATATAAAATAATGAAATAAATATATATTATAGTATTTCAATTTATTTCTTCTGGAAAATTACGATCTAAACATTTATAAGAACAGTAATCGAACGAGCCTGGGCAGCCATATTGAATTTACCTATGTATACGTATAATACATACCGGTATACATTGTGGAAGTTTTCGTGAATCGTAACATATTTAGACAAACAACACTCAGCAAATCAGTAAAAATAATAATTTATTGTCGAATTGAAAACAGGAATCTCTTACAATTGCAAATAAAACAAGATTAAAGACGGAAATATTTTTCTTCACAAATAGTTACGTTTAAAGTAGATATTCATTGATTTCAAAAACTAACCTTATTTTCATTATTGCAAAGTTGAAAGTTTGATTCGACAAGGTTATCAAAAATCAATGCTTAGAAACATTTGAAGTAACGATTATTATAAATTACAAAACGCTTAAATACAGCCCCGGCATATCACCTGAAGAGCTCTCCGAACGCTGCTGAGATGTGTGAGATCACAGTATGGACATGACTTGCACAAGCAGACGATGTCCCATGACATTTCACACATTTTCAGTGCCTGTGTTTTTATCTTCTCTTGAGTTCTTTCTCTTACTTCACTACCGTCAGGCTAAATGTATAATCTATTGCCTCACTCTAAACCCCGCGCATGGTTTTATTTTGATGACAAATGCAGCGATACAAAAATAAAGGAATCTGTCGCTTGTAAACAAAATAAGGCGCTATTGTATATTCAGCTGCACACACCCCGGTATGTTCGGCGTTTCAAGAGGGAACAAATGCCGTCCTTAATATCATTCCGGGGTGTTTTTAATTTGAAAGTCTGGTTTCGTTGATTGTTAATTAACCCCTATCCTGTGTATTTAGTACAAGCCAAAGATTTTAGTTATTAAAATCGGGTCATATCCCCTTTTGAATGGTTTGACATGCCATTACATTTATATACACTAAACTCATTATAATTTGACAAATAATAGCTTTGCAATTATGTTCATTCTTTATGGGATGTCGTCCGCTTGGGCAGTATTGGTCCATATGGTGACGTCATTATTAAAACATCGTTATTTTTCCGGTTAATCTCTCGTATATCCCAGCTGCTATGGAGGTGGTTGTATTTGTATTTTTATAAATCACCCGATATGTAGTTGACCTAAAACTTGTACGATGGCCATCTGTTAGATTACCAGTTTCTAGTGATACATTAGTTGACATATTTGTGATTTTCTATGAATTTCACCTTTAAAGCAGGTTTTATGTGAAATTAGTGCTGGGGGGAGCAGTGGGCGGAAATCTCCCGTGCTGGGCGGACTCGCCCATCGCTGCCCACCGTAGCTATAACGCTGCACCTGTACTACCGACTAGTCGATTAATCGTCAAAAAAATCACTGTGTAGATGACTACCAAAAAGGGGCTTTCAAAACAGGCCTACACTAAAAAGTATGATTTATTGTTTTAAAAAAATGTATTGCTGAGTTTATTTATGAGCAATGTGTAACTAAAAATTTGTTCAATTTGACTTATGCTCTACATATACTGTACATAGTTGTAACCATGTGAAAGAAGAATTTCCACTCAATGTGGACAATAAAACAAATCAATCAATCAATCAATCACTATACGTCCGATTTTCAAAAAAAATTGTTTTAAAAGATGCGTAAGACTCGAAAGAAAAAGTCATGAAAGGAAAACTTAATATCTGCCGCGGTTCCGGAGTAGTCGCTAAATTACTACAAGGGGGGAGTCAAATTGACCCCACCCCCGGTTAACTTAGGGTTAAATCTTCATTTACATAAGCTACGGTCTAAAATTAGCGCAAAATAAGCGCGACAGTCAGCGATCCAATATTATACTCGCGCAAGGCAAGGTAGGCTTATTTGCGCCAATTCTTAAATCAGGAATTATGTAAATGGGGGTTTAAAAAAACACTATGACCCTTATGCAGCCAACATCAAATTCTGTAGGACTTTGCAGGAATTATGAATATGTCATGTATGTCCTATCTGTGAAATGTAAATGTTAGCAGTGTCCTAATATTCAAATTATGCAAGGAAACTCGTTTACTTGCTAGACTTCACTATCAGACATTATACAACACCTACGTGGATCCTTGTCATTTGATTGGACGATTGTTGGTCACATGATATTCAATAGATGGTATATTGCACGGTCGTGCATTTTTGGTTATATGCGCCGTGCATTTTTGGTTATATGCAGACTGCGTACCTCTCTGCTGCATGTGCGCGCGCGTATCCCTGCGTGTATCTGACGCGAAGGCAATCTGCATGTAATTGAGAAGGCTTGACTCGAACTGTAATTTATCTTTATAAGGAGTAAAGCATAATTTGTTGATTAACGTTCTATTAGGTCTTCTTCGATGTTGTATAAAACAAATAATGAATGTTTTTCATTCGTTTAATAGTGCAAATATTTTCATTCGTTGAAAGATTAACGTTAATTCTATTCAACTCGGCTGACGCCTCGTTGAATAGAATGTTAATCTTTCAACTCATGAACATATTCGCACTATTGAACTCATAACCATTCATTATTTGTATACTATTTGAGTGACTGGCTGGCTTTTCTTCTTCCTTGGTAATAATATACCTGTACATAAAATGAGCTATAAAGGGTAGGCCTACATGAGCATTTGTCTACATCAATAACCCACTTCTGGTAATGGCCAAAATTAAACTGATTGAATCTTTGCGCAGCATAATACGTCAGACCATTCGGTACAATGGTCTGAAAATCAGACTATTACTTACGGGCTCTATAGCTCTTAAGTCGATTCGACAACTAATAGTCGTTATTTTCCAATTTAAAGACATTTTCAAGCCCCCTTTTTTTTAGGGAAGTTCTAAATTAGTATTTCTTTCAAATGCTGTTGGAATTTAACCTTTTCATTTTTTGGGCCTGCAAATGGAACATACAGTGTAGTACCTTTAAGTTAAACCTCCCTTGTGAATTTGGGCAATAGGGTTTGAATCTTTGTCGTAGCACCTTTGGCAAGACATTAATCTACATTTGCTTTACCCAGGGGTAGTCAGTGGGTTACTAACATGTGAGATTTATTCCTTGAATGCACTGAGCGCTATGGGTGCTGGAGCTTAAAATATGGAGTAATAATATCCAAATGCCCTTTGGAAGTGCATAGAGATGTTATATCATTATGTGATATGATCTATTCAAGAATAGCATGTTATTATGACAAAGTATAAAAAGGTGTGAGTCATTATAAACTCCCATTCAAATCCAGGTACTGTACAGGAATAACCGATCAAGATTGGTTAAACTGCATACAATTCATCTCCTTTAAGATTAAAGGTGAACAAACTTACATCTTGGGCTGTATCTAATCTCACTGTCTTCTGCCAATCCATGTAGGAAAGAAAGTCTACCTCCTCTGTCTCAGCAAGCTTTATCAAGCTTACAGATCCTTGCTGCAAGTCCTCTCCCTAAATGACAGGGGGGGGGGGGGAGAATCAGAATTGAATGTAATATTTGCCTGTATTTATAAATATGTTTAGTATTTACATACATATTGTTGATGAATTATGACACTGTCCACATGTTTTACTTGCCACAATATAAACATCTGTAACCTTTTAATGCATGTGTAGCATTTGAACAAATATCAATTTAGGAATGAGCTTTAGTCGTCTTTTCATTCCCAATTGTTTTCCTATTTTACATCTTTTCCCTCTCTTTTGTCCTTTTCTCCTTAGTTTTTCTCTTTCTCTCTCTATTAGTTTCTCTCTTTCCCTCTTACTCTTATGTCTCTTTAATAGTTTTAAAAAATGTTTTCTCTCTTTCTGCAGCTCTCTCCTTCTTTATCTGTCATCTTTCTTTCCAATTCATTTTTATTATTCTTTCTTCATTAGAAGGGCTCTAGTAGTATAAGGAAACTTTTCATAAAGAGTATATACACTACTACACTACATGAGCCCTAGTAAAGGCATAATGTCTCTGGCAAAAGTACAAAAGTCAGTCCTTCTCTTCTTTTTTTGTTTTGAGTGGGGGGGGGGCAAAGTTTGAAATGAAACAATGACAATTAATACAAAATAAATCATAATTCATACAAAAGGAATATTAGATATGTCAGATGTTAAGGATGTTCAAGCTTGGGTATATAGAACGCAGCACACGGATGCCGCCATAAGCTCCCAAAGGAAGCTCTGTGTGTACATCGGAGCGGTGTTGGAGTATCGCGCGTAATACCGCAATAATCGTACATAATGTAGTCATAGGAAGGCTGCATGAACATTTGCAGTGTAGGTACAGTGCATACAAAGTGAAATGTCATATACGCGTACGTTGCGTGCTCGCTAAACGTGAACTAACAACGCCCGGACATTGACAATAACACGTAATAAAATCTTTGAATTCCCATAAAATATCACCTAAAACTTGCAAGATTAAAACGTTAAAAAATTTATTTTACAGAACTATGATAATTTGCAATTTTTAAATGTATTCGATTAATCACATATCAATACATTCTATATTTTAAAACTAAATTACAAACAGTCAATCGAACCTTAGGATAAATCAGGCGCGCACGACTAGACTCGGTCGTTCCTGAAGTAGGCAAGTTGGCGGATGGACTGGTTGGACCAGCGGTCAAATAATTAGAATAATAACGGACACAGCCTATAAGTATCAAAGACGCTTGCTTTCAATATATTTTATCACCTGACGAAGTGTAGCAGCGGCACACGAAACATCATGATCTTTTAGATCCCTTGCTGACCATACTTTGCGAGAAAAACGAATGCCACTAGCAATATTATTTTCAATAGTAACATATTACATTGATTCAGTAACTTTAAAACTGTTCTCACCTTTTCCCTTGTTTCAATGGCAACAAAACTAGTTAGTTGAGTGACTATGGAATATTTCTTGCTGAGATCAATGACATATGACTTCTGTTCATTCTTCCTTGCTTCATGATGGGTCTTGTCTGGATCTAGAGTTCCATCCTCCCAATCTCTGATCACGGCACGGGCTGTCAGACGGTGCAACATCTAAATCAACAATGTACAGGGGTATCTATTAATACGACAAATATTATACAAATGAGTTCATTACACAATCTATGCAAACACAGTATAAGCGCTCTAACCTCTATGCGCACTACTGTGCATCATGTACATGCATTAAAAAAACGTGGGATAGTACTGGAAACTATTGCACGCTTTTTCATGAAAAACGTGGGATAGTCTCAGTAAATGAATCACATGTGACTGTGCATGACCCTTCATTTGATTAGGATCTGGGAGTGAGTTGAATAAAATCACTTAAAACTGCAAGGGCTTTCAGGCAGGCTATCTCAATTGAAAGTCAAGTGAATGAACCACAATACATGTACATGTACTCAAACACCTCTCCATAGGATAGTGATTTGTCTACCGTATTTGCCGGCGTAAAGGCCGCAGTATTTTTTTGGGGAAAATATCAAAAAGTCGGGGTGCGGCCTTTGCGGCGAAAGAGTAAAAAAAAAAAAAAAAAAAAAAAAACGTAAGTCAAAACCAGCACAAATTTGCACATATGGGACTACGAACAGTACAATAACTATACCACTATGGTACAGGACATTTCCACACATCTTACCGACAAGTTTATCTTGCATTGTTGACATGAAGACGAAAATAACTTCCTAAAACAACATTTGCCGATATATCTTGATCTAAGTTTGTGCCAATGTATTGCAAAAGTAAAGGAAGGGACCGTTTAACGGAGCTGCCGCGAAGCATCCATCCGAAGTCGCCATTTTGTTTTCCATTTCATGCAATTTCGCATTACACCATACATTGTGGTAGGGGTATACCGGACACCAAATCTGCCTGTGATCACTTTTTTAGCTAAACTTCCAGTAAATTATAAGAATATTGATGAATTTGGTATCAGTTTGTAAAAAAAAATAGTGTTTTACGAGAAAATTATGATTATTTTGTTTTGTCCGTTTGTTTGTTGTTTTTTTGTTTTTTTCTTCCCCTCTTTGAAATGTCAAAGTTGGGGTGCGGCCTATGTGGCGCTGCGGCCTTATCGCCGGCAAATACGGTAAATTAGCATGACAATAAACTGTGAGTGATTTAAGAGTAGATTATTTATGCCATACCTGTCCCTTTGTGATACACATCTCTGGTGTAGAGACCATTGTAGACACCTCCTCTCCATCTATGCTGGCCTTTAAACAAGCCTACATACAAAACAAAAACATTTAACAAATATACACATGTAATATCAAGTGAATGGATTTTATTTCAATTCTCTTACATTCTGACAACACTTGATAAAATTATTCATCTCAACAAGGTTATCATCATATTTGTGGCACCAAACTATGGGCAATGTATTCATAATGCCTGATGCATTAAACGATGTAGAGACAAGTATTCTCAACACTGGAGAGTCCATTGTACACAACACAACAAATTTCATATGGAAGAGCAGGTTTTTCTCCATATGCCCCAAAAGGGTCAATTAGGAACTCTAAAAATATCTTGATCAAAATGGCGATTAAAACATTGTTTCCATTGTAGCTTCGAGATTTCCTACTTTCGTGAACCGATGCCCTGAGGGATAAGTATTTCCAGACGTAAGGAATATATCTTTGCCCTGTGTTATTTCGCTAGACAAACATTAATTTGTGTATAGTTATGAACAAAACTAAAGACCTCACACGAAACCATGAACCTCTGAACATACCTCTGTGCAGTATTGTACAAAGCCATAGACTACCAATCTCGAGCCATTGAAGAGTGATGTAAGCTGACAAGGAGCCTGGACTGGGGTCGGAGGGTTATTATCATGCTGCTTCCATTCCACCTCAAGGGATGATACCGATGGTTGCTTGGCCTTGCTCAACTGAGCCTTCACCTGCATTAAATATATGATCAAACCTTACAACTCGGCCTTCATATGTGGTTCCACACATTACCAAGAATAATTGAAACTGAACCACAATTGATATTGAAAATATCAATTTCCTTGTTTTATAATCTGGGTTGACTAAAATTGTTGAGGATGCCTGTAACATAAGGGACATAATACCATGGACTTGCCCTGTATACAATATAATATAACACTTGCTATTCAACCTCAGAATGGTCTGCACATGTACTTTATTTTGTATTGAAGCCTTTAGACACTGCCAAAGTTACATATAGTGCGTTTGTTTCATATGGCAATATAAGGTTCAAATGACATGGTAACATATCTGTCTGCAAGGTAATTGTTTATAGTGAGCAAATTACCTTGTTTTCCCATCTTGATTTAGCATTGTTGTCAAAGAACTCATAAGCACCACAGCCAACTCTGGCCATGCCTTTCAAAAGATGTCGGTTGGCACTGGAACTGAAGGTTAAGAATATATGGTACATGCAGTTACAGTTCAAAGTACATTCATGAAGTCTGTTGATGTTTTACTTATATATTCTCAAGATTTTTGTGTACATACATGTATGATGAAACAAATAAGTACTTGTGAGCAAAGCAAGAAGAAAGTACATAATCTACACCCAGTAATGGGTCTATAATATGCTGAATGAGGCGGCAGGTATCTGTGACTCACATTCATACCCATAGACCTCTGTGATGTTGAGCATTAACAAACACATACCGTAATTAATGGTATATAAACCACCCTCGTGTATTAACCACACCCCTCTTTTTCGCCCTAAAAAAACTAATTAAAAAACGAGATGCAGCTGAATGTGTAAGATCATTAATGTAAATTAAAAAACAGTAGAGGACCTAGGATAGAACCTTGTGGTACGCCATTTAATAGAAGAAAAATTGGAGGAATTATTATTATAAAGTACATATTGAGATATATCAGAAAGATTACTTTCAAACCAAGATGACAGACAAATTTGAGTGTTGTTCCAGTTTCCGAATGGTGAGTCAACACACCGATTACTGAGCTGGGAGACATTGCCAGGCATAGCGCCAGGTGGAGGGGCATAAATCAAAACTTTAAAATAAAAAAAATAAAAAATAAAAAAAATTGTGTACCGTGTATAAGACGCACCCCCGACTTTGAATTTTTTTCTGCGGCAAAAAAGTGTGGTTAATACACCGTTAATTACGGTAATTTTAATATACCATTAAACATGGTCTACATGGGCTTGCTTTCAGCTCGGTAAATTCTGACGTTAAGTAACAATATTTGAAATAATTAATGACCGGGGTAATAGTATATTTGTAAAGCGCTGAGAGACATTTGTATTAAGTGCTATATAAAAATTAAATATTATTATTATTATTATCTCTGTTTACCTAGATTAGCATCCATCTTCTTTAAATCAAAATTGCAAATTTAACAAGAAGACTATAACTTTTTTTCTATTTAGATATACTCTTGATAAATATGTAATATTGTGTTGTCTAAGATGGAGCTAAGAAATAGCAGTGTCTTACCTGACACCAAAGGTGAAGACGCGAGAGTGTGTGTTTTGAGCTATAGCATGCAGTGTACTTTGCTCGTTGTTGATATGACCATCAGATACAAGAAAAAGATTCTGAAGCCCCTCTGATCGGAGCAGAAAGTATGACTGAAGGGGGCGCCAAGCATCTGTATTACCCTGAGTAGCACAAGCTTGATTGATGAATGTGGTGGCGGCGAGGATGGTGGTCTCTGTCTTGGCTTGACTGCTAGCAAACAACTCCTCAAACCCTGCAAAGAAACAATACAACCACTCTACACAATGAACACAATGTTTTGGACCTGATGTCAATTGTTTTTATATCTGTTTTTTTATGTTTTGATCTAATTTGTTGTTTTAATTGCTGTTCTTGAATTGTGGATACGTATACTGCATGTACTTATGATATCATGTTCCTCCAATTATCTAACTTGACATGATGTGAATTTGTTAGAGATAAAAATGGATGTAATGTACCTGTTCCAAATGTCACCACATTAAAGATGCTATCATCTGACATGTGATGGAGGGTTAAAAGCAGGATCTGCTTTGCTTGCTTAAGAGCACCTTCTTTCATCGAATTAGAACAGTCTAGTAGCAGGATAATCTCTGGCTTCTCAACGTTGCTTGCTTCAAAGTCAGGATAAAAGGTCACCATGCATGCCTATGGGTGAGGAACGTAGGTGACAAAAACTGTTTTCAAGCTTATGGTAATCAGAGGCCTAGCGTAGACAACGAATACGGCATTTATTCTAAGATCGCAGTAAGAGATATCTAGAAAAGTCATGCAATAGCTTTAAATTCACCAAAAGTGCTTTAATACCCCATGACATAGGGGGACAATGAGACACAAAAACAGAAATAACACTCAGAGAAAATTATACCAGTATGTTGTGCGTATGTGAGAGAGAGAGAGAGAGAGAGAGAAGGGAAAAGAAGTCTAATAAAGAACAAGAAACAAAGCTGGAGAAGGTACAATCTATGACTCTACTGGCTACATTACACGTGTATGCAAATCTAGTTTTATAGTACATGTAGATAAAACTCAAAGATGTATGTTTGTCACCTGACTGTGTTTATTCTCTGGATGCTGCTCAACCCACATGCGAGGACGATGGATATCAACCACACCAACCAACAACTGAAACCCCTCACCAAGACTGGTGCAGTCCTCTGGCAAGGTTATCACAGCCTTGGTTGCTGTTTGCTGTAGGAGAAACAAATTATATTTTCACTTGCAGGAGCACATATTTCAGTACACAGCAATCCAATGAATTAACAAATCTAAAGTACCTGATTACAGACTTTGCTTGTCTCTGTACCTAGTGGTTATAAATCACCCTATATCTTTGTAATGCTATAATGATATATATTTTGTACTGATCTTCAGTGGATTAGTAGTAGATAGTATGGACGTGATAGTATATTTTACCTTGATCTTCAGTGGATTAGTAGTAGTTAGTATGGACAAGATAGTATATTCTACCTTGATCTTCAGTGGATAAGTAGTAAATAATATGGACGTGACAGTATATTTTACCTTGATTTTCAGTAGATTAGTAGTAGATAGTATGGACGTGATAGTATATTTTACCTTGATCTTCAGTGAATTAGTAGTAAATAGTATGGACGTGATAGTATATTTTACCTTGATTTTCAGTGGATTATTAGTAGATAGTATGGACGAGATAGTATATTCTACCTCGATCTTCAGTGGATTATTAGTAGATAGTATGGACGAGATAGTATATTTTACCTTGATCTTCAGTGGATTAGTAAGCAAATAACTAACGTTGGTGAAGGTGATGGGACAAACTATCACTTCCGAGGCGATCTGGATGTAGCTATCTTTACGAAGCGAAGCTGAGGAAAGATAGCGTACACATTCTGATCGACGAGAAAGTGATAGTTTGCCATCACCTGTAACCAAAAGGTGATTATTTGCATTATATTCCACATCTACAAATAGAAGAGGAAGTGTATGCATCTACATGAAAGACACCAGGCCCAAATTCACACCAAAAAAGTTAAAAGTTTAACCAAACCCCTTGAGGGTACAGTGCGCGCATGTGTTTGTTTTTAATTGTGCTCATTGGTAATGCGCGCTTAATTACGCCTGTTTTAGTGCGCTTTTGGATAATCTTCAGTGAAAGTGCGTTGCCCTGTGTAGATAGTACCTCTATCTTCAGTGAAAGTGCGTTGCACTGTGTAGATAGTAGTACTATGTACACAGTTTAACAAACTTTTTGCTTCTCCCATCAATAATGGGCGAACTATCTTTCATCACGTGATTTTCTTTTGACCAATCATACAGCAAGATTCTTAGTATGTGGAATATAATAGTAGATAGTATGGATGTGATAGTATATTTTACCTTGATCTTCAGTGGATTAGTAGTAGATAGTATGGATGTGATAGTATATTTTACCTTGATCTTCAGTGGATTAGTAAGCAAATAACTACCATTGGTGAAGGTGATGGGACAAACTATCACTTCCGAGGCGATCTGGATGTAGCTATCTTTCTGAAGCGAAGCTGAGGAAAGATAGCGTATACATTCTGATCGACGAGGAAGTGATAGTTTGCCATCGCCTGAAACCAAAAAGTTTATTTGCTTTATATTCCACATCTAAAACAATTTAACTACAAAAAGAAAAGGACATGTATGCATCTTCATAAAAGACACCATGCTCAAATTCACACAAAAAAAGTTTAACAGTTTAACCCAACTCTTTGAGGGTACGGTGCGCGCATGTATTTGTTTTAATTGCGCTCATTGGTAATGCGCGCTTAATTACGCCTATTTTAGTGCGCTTTTGGAGTGAAAGTGCGTTGCACTGTATAGATAGTACCTCTATCTTCAGTGAAAGTGTGTTGCACTGTGTAGATAGTAGTACTATCTACACAGTGTAACAAACTTTTTGCTTCTCCCATTAATGATGGGCGAAATATCTTTCATCACGTGATTTACTTTTGACCAATCATAGAGCAAGATTCTTAGTATGTGGAATATAATACAATTTACCTTGATCTTCAGTGGATTATTAGTAGATAGTATGGACGAGATAGTATATTCTACCTTGATCTTCAGTGGATTATTAGTAGATAGTATGGACGAGATAGTATATTCTACCTTGATCTTCAGTGGATTATTAGTAGATAGTATGGACGAGATAGTATATTTTACCTTCATCTTCAGTGGATTAGTAGTAAATAGTATAGACGTGATAGTATATTTTACCTTGATCTTCAGTGGATTATTAGTAGATAGTATGGACGAGATAGTATATTCTACCTAGATCTTCAGTGGATTATTAGAAGATAGTATGGACGTGATAGTATATTCTACCTTGATCTTCAGTGGATTATTAGTAGATAGTATGGACGAGATAGTATATTTTACCTTCATCTTCAGTGGGTTATTAGTAGATAGTATGGACGTGATAGTGTGTTCTACCTTGATCTTCAGTGGGGTATTAGTAGATAGTATGGACGTGATAGTATATTCTACCTTGATCTTCAGTGGGGTATTAGTAGATAGTATGGACGTGATAGTGTGTTCTACCTTCATCTTCAGTGGGTTATTAGTAGATAGTATGGACGTGATAGTATATTCTACCTTGATCTTCAGTGGGGTATTAGTAGATAGTATGGACGTGATAGTATATTCTACCTTGATCTTCAGTGGATTATTAGTAGATAGTTTGGACGTGATAGTATATTTTACCTTGATCTTCAGTGGGTGTGTGCTAGATTGTATTGATGTGATATCTGCTGCCATCTCAATAGACACTGCCAGCGAAAAGGAACTACACATAAAAAACACAAATGTTATGCTTTTATACAATAACTGGTACATGATAAAAATCAAAAACTTGAACAGAATCAACAGAAATACATTGGTATGTAGAATATTTGGTCATGATTTAAATACATGCATTCAAGTTTCTTCTGATAAAACAATAGGCAAAACTGCACCAAAAATTATTGTGAAAAATCAATTTTTGGCTATGTCTTAAATTCATACTATCTTTAAATTTACAATACACATATGCTATAAAGGTTTACAAAAACAGTACATCTTAAAATGTATTTCAATACATGTCAATAGAAAATCTCTCCTTTCACGTTAGAAATTAGGATAAACGTACATAACTACATTAAGTACATTTAAGGGTGATGTTAAAGCTTACAATGATACTTCAAAGTTTTCTAATTTGCAATTGTACTTATATTGGAGGCACGATAGCTCAGTTGGTAGAGCAGTGGTTCTGTATTCCGGCGACCCGGGTTCGAAACCAAGTCAATTCGCTAGTGCCCTTAAAGTAAGGCATTAATCCTCACCACCAGATCCCTCGGAGAGGACCTAAAGCAGTCGGTCCTCTGGTTGCTTACTAACAAGCATTTATGCTTTCTAGTCAGGTAAAATAACCACCACACACCACACTTATTACATCTCAAAACCCTTCTTCCTTCAAATCAGTAAATAAATGGGAGGTAGATTAGATGATTCAAGACTTACATTGATGATGGGAGGTAGATTAGATGATTCAAGACTTACATTGATGATGGGAGGTAGATTAGATGATTCAAGACTTACATTGATGATGGGAGGTAGATTAGATGATTCAAGACTTACATTGATGATGGGAGGTAGATTAGATGATTCAAGACTTACATTGATGATGGGAGGTAGATTAGATGATTCAAGACTTACATTGATGATGGGAGGTAGATTAGATGATTCAAGACTTACATTGATGATGGGAGGGTAGATTAGATGATTCAAGACTTACATTGATGATGGGAGGTAGATTAGATGATTCAAGACTTACATTGATAATGGGAGGTAGATTAGATGATTCAAGACTTACATTGATGATTGGTCTTTGATCTTCAAAGTGGCAACATCTTTCTGCAGTACTTGTGAGATAGCAGCCTCTTTACGCCATGGTGCAACACTCCCTGGAAGGGTGAAAGCTATCTTGTCTCCCTCTACAGACAGCTCTACAACATATGTGATCTTAATCACCACCTTCACCTTAGGAGGCAGGTTGCCTACACTCACCGTAAACACATCCTTTAAAAACAAAACAGTTCTATCATCTTATCATCACTAATGATAAAACATTAACAGGAAGGTTGCTAATCTTCTTATAATCATAATGATTGACTTTGGTATTTCTGTTATTTTTTTTGTAAATTTAAATTTCTACATAAATGACTCTAATTATAACTTAATTATTTTGTAACAATTTTTTAAATAAATATTTAAAAAAAAATTAAGAACAAGAAAGCTATGGGGACCAGACTACTCTTCTCAAATGTAAGGTGCTATTAATGATTCTTATCCACTGTACTTGCAGCATTACTGTAAAATGAGTCAGAAATAAGATTTGTCATACAAAATAAGCATTATAATCTTCAAATGGGCAGGATAAAGTTGAATAGAAAAACAAAGATTCCATTTAATAGAAATTGGCAATTATTTGAAATGCAATGAAAATCTATGATACATGTAGGGTGCATGAAAATGTTCATGTTTTGAACATGCTGTCTTTATAGAAAATATTGTGTCAAAAGAAAACCAACAGAGTTGCCAATTTACAAACACAAGAAGGAAAATTGATTGATGACTTACCGGAGCTTCCTCGTCCATCAAGTATGCTCCATGTCCCTTGCTGATAGCTTCTTTGTATTCCTTGTGTGCCTGAGCTTTCTCTTTGACTGTGCCTACTATGTGCTTATCACCAATGAAAGCCTCAAAACCACATACAGCAGCACTGTCCTCCAATGGGAAAACATACTTAGCTTCAATAGACTCCGCATTCATATTGTCATATTCTTGAAAGATAACAACCTACACACACACAAAACAATCATCAATATTAAACTAAATATAATCAAAATGCTATGGCAGCGTCTCACGAAACCGTCATAAGTACAAGTTCACCGACATCCCATTGACACGCGTGTATTAAGTTTAACACACGTTTCAATGGGATGTCAGTGAACTTGTAGTTATGACGGTTTTGAGAAACGCTGCCCTGAATTTTACGTTCTTCTTTATATATGTAATGTTATTTATTTTTGTAACCTTTCCGGACCATCCTGTTCACTCAAACACTTAAAATAAGTCACTTATTTTGTTTATAATAGCATAATAAAACTACTGTATAGCAATACTCTGAAAAATGTCTATATTATGGTATATGATATATATATGTACAGTTATTTTGATTCCATGTAAGTTTGTAAAATGTGAGCAAAACAAATTTCCAATATTGGACAATAATTGAAATTGAAATGAGTTGAAGATGATACAGAAAGATTACGATACATGTTGTTCACATGTATAAGTTACAAAGATCCATTGTTGTTCTAAGTACATGTACTGGAAAGATGTTTCATGAAGTGATCCAGTGGAACTTCAGGTAATACTGCTGTATAAATAAATGCTTTAAAGATATTGAAATGTCTTGTGCCACTATGCTTTCCCAACATGCTCTCACCCAACGATAAATGAATTTATCTTATTTATTTGATTTATCAAATCTATGACTCTGACACACAGTCTTCAGACAAATAGATATTGTTACATGACTTTATGAAGCAAGGCAGCTACATGAAAGTCTAACATAATAACTCTTACTGAAACATTCTGGAGATGAGTGAATGTGATTACCTGGGCAGCTAGATCCATCATCTTTGCTCTGACACAAACGTTCTTGAGAGGAATAGGCTTGCTCGATGTGCTTTGTAAACCACTCACAACTTTGTCATTGGGGTTAGGGACAGCCATCACATCTTTCATTTCTAGATAAAAGATTAATCCTCCATAAATTAATGAGCTATTCAGAACAGAATTATTACCCTTATGCACAGACACAATATTGTGAGTTTATATAATTTCAGTCACACCAAAGTGATTTGGTTTGCTCCTATCATGAGTTTCTATAATTTCAGTCACACCTTAGTGATTTGATCTGCTCCTATCATAATTCAACAAATATCGCTAATCGCTAATTTCATGATTTTTGGCAAGTAAACAATTTGTGTGAAACCACCCAAATTGTGATTATGTACACTCACCAACAGTCAGAGGTGTAGGTTGCTCTGTAGCATCTTCTGTTTCCATGGCAATTGTAGAAAGATCAGGAAGGAAAGTTGAAGGAGGAGTACCACTCTGATCCTCAGGCATAGAAAACTCCACCAGGTATCTCAGTCTTTGTTGATTTACATTGTAGATTGTAAACTCATTAGCCTTTAAGAAGATCAATTTTATACAGACATTTTAACATCCCTAAATGTATAAATAACTAGATGGAACTTAGACTGCGCGCAGTCGAAAATGATGCCTCTGCTCAAGAGCGATTTCACAAACCAAAACAGAAGAATTTTTCAAATTCAAGTTTAATAGTAATCCATTAAGAGGTTCTCAGAATATCGTGATTACAAGCTATTTTTCATATACATGTAAGACCCTTTATTCTTTGACCTCATGACCCTAAAATTTAATCAGTTCATTGGCTTTGCAAGATACATACATGTCTTGAGTTTGATGGTAATTCGTCCATCGGTTCTAATGATGTGATCACCAGCTATTTATGCATACATAATGAGCACTGTGACCTTTGACCTCGTGACCCCAAAATCTAATAAATTCATCGGCTCTGCAAGATACATACATGACCTATGTTTAGCAGGAATCCATTAATCGGTTCTTGAGATAACGCGATCACGAGAACGGGATGACGGACGGACGTACGTACGGACGGCTAGGGTAATAATTTCTAAAGCTCTTTGGAAGCCTGTAGAGACGTTGTATAATGTGCTAGCACTATACAAGAACCGAATATTATTATTATTATTATTAAGCACATTAAACAAGGGATTTCATTACAGCAAGTTTTTGCTAGCTTCTTTCCAATTGGAAGGCCTAAATTTATGTGTACCATTTTTATTCAATAATAATTCAGTGATTTTGAAATATATTTTGGCGATACTAAACCATAAAAGATGCAATATGGAATGGATAATACATACTTTGAAATCTGATGCTATCTGTCCAGGTATGGCTCCTACACCCTTGACACTGTCGAAGCCAATAGGAGGTTGGTTGAGATCAGAATGGTATTCATTCACCTCATGACATCTACCCAATGATACCTCACACATCACCAGGAAACGACTATGGCTCAAAGTGCTCTGCACAGAGTAACAGGCACTAGTGCTGAAATAAAGAAAAACTAATCCTTCTCAATACTAAACTTACACAGAAAGTACCTACATGTATGTCTCTTCATTTCTTTCCTCCTACATACAATTAATCTCACCAAACTACATGTTTATTTACTGTAGCAAACTACATCTCTATACACATTTTCAACAATACCTTATTACGATACTTTAGAAAGGAAGTTTAAAATGTCACCCCCTGTAAATGTCTGTTTCATCATTAGCTTATTGGGTACAACTCAAATGAAAAAGTTTCTTCCTGTATGATATCACACACTATGTCTGCTTCCCACTGAATTTCATTGGTGATCTCAATTTCAAGATAAATCATAAATTACTTTCATTGTCTATTTTGTCTCATAGTTTCAATAATCAAGTTCTCGTTTTGTATACTCAAAGGTAAGGGTTTTAATCAGAATTTTTGTTGGGGAAATTTTGAATAGTTTATCCGGGGTAAACTTTTGCGCCAATACAGAAAATTGCCCCAATGCGATGTATTACCATGTATTGATTATTTGGGCCACTTTGGGGCAAAAACTGACAATAATGATCACGTTTGATCAGGGCTAATTTTACCAATCGTTATTATCAGCAAAGGAGATTTTATTTTGGTTACATCAAATCTTTGCACAGCACAAAACGTACACCATTTGGTACAAGGCTCTGAAAATCAGACTATTTACTAAAAGGATTGCAATCCCTAAAGTCGTTTTGACAACTCAGTCGTTTCCCCCCACAAAAAGACATTTTCAAGCCCCTTCATTTAGAGGGAACTAGTTCTAAATTAGCATTATCTCTCAAATGCTGGAGAAATTTAACCTTTTCATTTTTTGGGCCTGCAAATACATTGTAGGACATAGTATATGTTTAAATAGAAAGCCACTTAGACTGTTTAACAAAGTACTTGTTTCAATACATGTACCTAGCACTATCAGCAAAGTAGATTCCATGTCCTAGCATTCCAGCATCTGTCCGGTTGCCTCCCAAATCCTCAACCACAATCTTTGGCATCAACAAGCCTCTACAGAAATACAATAATGCACATTTTTTTATATGATAGATATTTATATAATATTGACTGCATGGCCTTGAGGGAGATACCACATATATTACCCAAACTAGACTCATATTGCCCCGAGTCCAAGACAAGGGCAATATGGGTCTTGTGGGGAAATATATGTGGTATCTCCCGAAGGTTAAGCCAGTCAATATTGTTATTATTATCCAAATCAGACATCAGCAAATACATACATGACAATCTCATAGAACTGAAAAACTTTGTCAAACCAGCACTGTGCATCCAGCTGCTTGACAAAAATTTTGATACACTGCAAACAGTGTACCCAATTTGGTGTGATTATTACGTCACAATAGAGTGTGCGCAAAGAGCGCAGGTACGCATAATAGATGCGCAATGAAAAAGACAAAATACGGCGCAGTGAATATGGTCTTATATTTTCTGCTTTTTGAACACATAAAGTCCATAGGTTTTTTCATGAGATGGTAATATGGTCTCATATTTACTAATTTGCTCTTTTAGGATCATAACAAGTGTAATATGATTTTGTAAAACCACTGCTCAGATGTCTGATATGGGTAATAATGCAAAATGTTCAATTGAAATTAATTTAGAAAACTATAGTATGAGAACACTCCTGGTGATAAGTGCTATGAATTTACTCTGACCGGTATAGAGTATAGAGCTGTGACGTCATATAAATTTATATTTAGAATTTCTCATTTTTTTCTTCATTTTCCGAAAAAGCATCAAAAATAATGTCCAAACGCCGAAAACCAATTGAATATGTTAAGTTTGGGCTGAGATATGATCAACTGAATAAAAAGATTGCCTATAGGAACTCAGTGTTATATGCTCTGGCTCCTACCATTAGGAGCCAGAGCATATAACACTGAGTTCCCATAGGACATATATTTATTCAGATGGTCATATCTCAGCCAATACTTAACATATTCAGTAGGTTTTCAACATTTGGACATTATTTTTGATGCTCTTTCAGAAAATGAAGAAAAAAATTGAGAAATTCTAAAATTTGATTTTTGATGACGTCACACTTCACCACTCTATACAAGAAAAAACTAAATGTGCTTCAACTATTTCACAAAATTTGCCACTATGAGTCCTAAATTTCATGAAGCTTTAAGTTTGATAGACATTGAAAAAAACTGTTTTTAGAATGATTCCCAAATAAAAATGAATAAACATCTCATGCTAGTACTATCAATCTTATTCATTTTTTAACACATATTCCTCGTACAAAATAAGGGAATGGGAAAGGCACAAGCAGTTTTATCATTTCCCAATAAAATTCCTTACATTTTTAAATCCAGAGCAATTTGTAATGATTATGGATTTATATAAGATGTATCCTGTATTCACTGTTGCTCATAAAGTTGGAATATTTTGTTTTACCCCAATTTATGGAATTATTTTGACAAAGATTTATTCCTAATAGCTCTAGATAATAGTATACATTCTCAGATGTTATTGAACAATAATTTGCCAGTGTTTGTTTTGCGTGACTGCTAAAGCATGTGTATGCTTATCAACTAGGGGACCTACGCCCTTAAGTCATAAATGACAGTAATAAGGATTAATGCCCACAAAAGGGCACTAATATAGCACATCGCACGGTTTTGATCCTGGGGCCTCACAGTTACGAGGCCATTGCTTTGCCACTGAACCATGACTGTACGCAGCGGGGGCTAGGGTAGGGGGCAGTTCCCAAAATTTAAAAAAAACAGAGAAAGTGCAATAAATTATCAATAATTCATTGCATTTTACCCCGGTCCCCAACATTAAAAAAACCCTCTGTACGGCCATGCATTATAGCTCAAGGCATGGGCACACAGAAGATTTTTTTTTCTGTTGGGGACCGTGGGGGGGGGAATTCAATTAATTATTGATAATTTATTGCATTTTCTTTGTTTTTTATATTTGTGGGAACTGCCCCTTACCCTAGCCCCCGCTGCGTACAGTCATGGTTCAGTTGCAAAGCAATGGCCTCGTAACTGTGAGGCCCCAGGATCAAAACCGTGTCGTTATATTAGTGCCCTTTTGTGGGGCATTAATCCTCATTAATGTCATTTATGACTTAAGGGCGTAGGTCCCTTAGTTGATTAGCATAGTAGCATAGTAGCATACACATGCTTTAGCAGTCACGCAAAACAAACACTGGCAAATTATTGTTCAATAAAATCTGAGAATGTATACTATTATCTAGATCTACGGTATTAGGAATAAATCATTGTCAAAATAATTCCATAAATTGGGGTAAAAAAAAAAATATTCCAACTTTATGAGCAACAGTATAGTATGTACCATACACAACACTGTCTTATCTGGTACCATACAACATGGCAGCACGTTATTTATTATTAATGTTAGTTTAATGTTCTTTATATAGAATGGAAAAATGATTACTATGGATTGTTTTTATTCAAAATAGATCATGTTCATACATACCTGGAAAGGATACCCAGGAAGTTGGATGGTTTTGAAGAGTGAAACAAAAGCTTCTTGTTGCCGAGGTAATGAGTAAAGTTTGCATTTTCTACAAATCGATCAACTGCAAAAACTCTATTTACCTTGAAGGCCTCTTTCCTTAAAAAGACAGAGAAAAAGTTATAATAAAATTAAGACTTGTAAAATAATGACCAACTGGTTTTAAAACCCTTCTGCTTTGCTGAAATTTTCAAAATTTCAATGTCATTTTGAAACTCAAGTAAATAAACCATTAAAGATCTGAACACAATTACATTTTATGAACAAATGCATCTATTAACCAACATTTCCACAGAAAATTCAAAGCCACATACTGTATAAATGAAATAGGTTTCAGCAGGCAATTCTATGTACAACTGTATACATGTACACGCATGTCAACAACTGGTTGTACTTTAGTCTCAAAAATTAGACATACAAGTACATGTACCGCAACACAGTCCAATCACCTATTGAGACCTACATGTAATATCGGCTCAAATTTGATAATAAAAGGATTTTATGTAGGGAAAACAAACAGACAAGGGACATGCCCATTGCAGTCTTGACTGCATTGTGCAATAATCAGGACAGCATTCTGATTCAGTGAAAATTAAATTTGAGCTTCTATAGGAGTGCTGCCCTAAGCCCCCTTCTCGGCCACGTGCCCCATTTAAACAAAAACTTGAGACATAAAATATTTTCGCTATGAAAACTTAAATTTGCAAATTTATGATAAAAACCCTATCAAGAATCCTCAGATTCTGACTCTGCACAGCGTTCAGCTTTTGTAAAACTGCAATTGTAGACTCCTGAGAAATGTTCAAACTGTTAATTGAATTGATCAACTGTTTACTGTACACATTCCCTCTAAATTAACACATTTTGAAAATGGATTTGAAGTAAGAAATATTAAAAGATACCCAAAAACGAAATTCTATTGCCCAATTCAAAACAACATATTATACTAGCTGTCTGCCAGAAAGATTTGGAGGCGGTAAGCATACATGATTCTGATCGTACCCTGTAAAGCTGTCTTGAATCTGTTGTAAAACTTGCTGGTATTCTGCTGATTCAGATGGTATTTGTTCAATGTGACAACGTAGAGTACGATATTTGGCCCCTGTACTTGCACGAAGTGACCAATCAGTAGCCTCACACACACTGTGAACATCTGTTAGCAACTGCAAAATTGGGTTTAAACATAGTTAACAAACTAATAGTATGAACCACTGCTCTCACCATTGAGTTACTGTACTACCAGGGGAGTGTTTCACAAAGACCAAGATTGACTTAAGTTGGACTTGAACTATGGCAGGCCATTCATGCCACTGATTGCTCTCATCATTGGTCTCTCAAGGGACACCACAAATCAGTTACAATTTTGATAGTTCATTGTTGAAGAAAAAAAAAGTTACTTACATTGTAAACTTATTTAACCCTAATAAGGGTGCATTATGGCCCCCCTCCGCAATTTTTCTGATTGTTCGGGAACGCATATGGATGGCGCCCTGCCACTCACAGACTTTGCTCTTTTGAGTCTTGAGCATCTTTTTTGTTGAAAATCGGACGTACAGTTACAAAGTCACATGACCTTTTGTCTTTGCATGTCTCAGCCCCAAAATTGCTCATTTTCGTGATTTGTGTACAAAACATATCAAAATTTCATTTTTTCTAAAAAGAGATAAAACATTGGTTATTGGGTCTTGTTTAAAGTTTTGGTGTTTTTGGGAGTCAAAATAGTTGAATTGTAGTTAGAAATGAAATAAAACAACAAACAATAAAATACATACATGTAAGTTAAAAAACAATGAAATACATAAGAAATTATCCAAACAAGAGATAACATAAGAAACAACCTAGCTCTTCCAAAAAAAATTTTGTATTATTGTTGAATGGTCTAACAAATACATGTACCGGTAGTGAAAAAGAATGCTTGAATATAAAGAATATATGATTTATGGGTAAAAAGGTGAATTTTATGACCTTATTTGCATCCCCAGATAGAGTAACAGTACCTTTCTCACCAGATTGAGTCATTGTATATTATTTATAGTGCTGGTCTGGTATCCGACCGTCCATGGCACATATCCATTTTCAATTGGACGGTTATTTTTTATTTATTTATTTTTTTTGCCAACTCTGTCGGCAGTAATCCAGGTCCGTGTTAAAAGACCCACGCGGGGAAGGTGCAGTTGAAGGCGCCGATTTGTGCTTGTGAACTTGTCACAAATAATAGTAACAATGTCGTTTTTAGAAGAATGTGTAAGATCATTAATGAAAATTAAAAACAGTAGAGGACCTAGGATAGAACCTTGTGGTACGCCGTGTGTGATAGAAGAAAAATTGGAGGAAATATTATTATAAATTACATATTGAGATCTATTAGAAAGATTACTTTTAAACCAAGATGACAGACAAATGTGAGTGTTGTTCTAGTTTCTGAGTGGTAGGTCAACACACCGATTACTGAGCTAGGAGACATTGCCAGGCATAGTGCCAGGTGGAGGGGCATAAATTGAAACTTGTAAAAAAAAAAAAACTAACCGAAAACCGTCCGGTTTTGACTGGTGGTTAAGCGGAATTGGAGATATCCGTGATGTTACAACACTAATTATTCATCAGACTGAGTCACTGTACCACATTCACCAGATTGAGTCATTGTATAATATTTATCAGGTTGAGTCAATAAAGCAAAGATAATCTTAAAATGTAGAGATATCTCAGCCCCCCCCCCCCCTCCCTCAAAAAAAAAATAATAATGATAATAAATTAATAGACTAAAATTGAATAAAAATGAAGTTAAAAATCAAACACTTGGAACAATGAAAAGATGTAACTTTACTCATGGTAGACTAGGGGTCATACAGCTGCTTAAAATGTTTAATGAGTGTATGCTATTAGTATTAGTCCATTAGACGCTCTGATTAGGCTTGGGATCGAGCGAGCGCCGAGTACCCAATTCTTCCCGATTCTGAAATCCAAAACCGAGGAGTCGATTACCCGAACACGTTGGTTCCGAGACTCCAAGACTCGAATCTTTGGCGCTGGAGCCCAGTCCACAGCACTGAGCATGAGAGCATCAAAGCAGAATGCATGTGATCTATGAGAGCGCTGATACACACATTTGTGAGTCAGAATAAAACGTGTGTGCATGTGGTCGGCAATACTGCTGGGTGCTGTCTGTAACTCTGCAGGTCATCTGCCCCCCCCCCCCCCCATTATTGGCCCCATTAATTTCCCATCCTTTATGAGCTATGTGACCATGGTGTGATCAATGAGTTGATTCATATACATTTTCTCTCGTGAGCGAACTGATTTATGTGATTTACGTGTTTACTCTAGACATTGTTTAGTTTTCTTCCTCCAAATAAACATAAGTTACAGTGTCCTCCTCCTTTCTCTCTGTCTCTTGAATTCTCCTCATCAGGTTTCTTTTCTTTCTTTCTTTTCTTCTTAAAGAATAAGTTTGACAGGTCTACATCTACTTCTTCCTCTCATATTCTCGTTGTTATCAATTATCTTTGTATTCAAAACATTTGCTGCATTATGTAGCCTCGTCTATTTCCGAGGAACAAATTATTTATGTTCGAGTAATCCAACACTACCACAGGATTACAAACAATATCGACTAGTCTTCTTGATATGACCAGCTTGTAAATATGTAAATATAATTTGTCTACTCCAACAGCATTTCCTTTCTAAAAACGTATATTTAACTGTTATTAGTAATTATTTAGTATCAGCATTAATAAAGTGATATTTCATCATTCATGTCATAACACAAACATGAGTTTTATTAGTCGATATGCAGTGACAACAACAACATTGAAAAATATCGTTTTGGCATTAGCGCAATCTCTAACAGAGGCTGAAAATGCAGACTAATATTCCCCAGACCAAGATCTAGCGTGCACCGTTATCTCTTGTTTCTAACTTTCTATTGTGCGAGAGAACGCACATGGTTGTAACCATGGGGTGCCACACGCTGGGGCTGGGGTCATTAATTGACAAAGTGCTTGGGTGCATATTGGGCGGGCGGTCATGTTAGCATGAGTTATTTATAAATGTCCTTTTGTTTAAAGCTCTTACAAGTATGAGTTGATTATTTAATCATTCTACGTTGACGTTTAAAATTTAAGACATGTTTTGGGGGGGTTTATATATTTGCCATGAGTTATTGATTTATTACTTTTTTTAATTTTTGTATATTTGATTGAAAGTAGTAAAATAAATCATTTTATAACTGTTTATAAAGCTAGGTCTGCACTTTGATCTTCTTTTTTGTAAACTTGGAAGTTCTGTCAAGCTGTCTCACCTAGCTGGCCTTATCACCATTCATCTCTTGTTTGCTTGTAATTGTAGAGATATCATGAGACAAAACAGAAACACAACACCAATTTACACTCACATACATTCATACTTTGTTATGATACTCATTTTTCAAAGTAAAGTTTTTCACAAGAAAATCAGAGAAAATCAACGTGGCAGTCCATGGTTGCACATTCCCCCAAGACCACACACAGCGCTAACAGTGCCACTGCTGTCGGAACCGAGAGAGCTAGCATAGCTCACTTTGACATTGCTATTTGTTTCCATCATTATTGCCGCGATATGTACATGTATATACTTTTCGTGAATAGAGGTATGAAATGAAAGCTTGAATTGTGATTATTCTAGCCATGTATATTGAATTGTGATAAGCATTTTTTTAAAGTAGAGTTTTGACAAGAAAATAAAACAGTTGTCGTGACAATTGCACGCTGCCCTCGTTACTATCAATGCAGTTCCACACACTCGATTCTGCATGGAACCGACATACACAGTCAGTACATACAGAGTATGTGTATGGCCTTTTAGTGCATTGCAAATCTGGCAGCCAGCGGGAGTCAATTCCGCTCGGAACCGAGGCCGAGAGTGGGAACTGAGATCGGTTTTCGTCAACAAGAGAACCGCCCAAGCCCAGCTCCCATACAACAGTTCGCGTTGCAGTTCTTTTGTTGATTTGTAACTATAAGTGCATGGTAAAAAAAAAAATGTCAACATATTTTTGCCCAAGGGCACCCTTGAGCTTGAGCAATGTGTGTATATCAAAATCCAATGTGCAGTTCAACTTTAATATGGGAATACAACCTGTGATGTTCTGAAAGGGAAGGTTATATCATGGAATAGTATCGCACGTATAGCCTATGTTTCATTGCACAAGATGAACAACACTGTTTGTGATGGGTGCAGAGACCCCCTAGACTCTAGAGACCTTTTATTTTTCTCCTTCTGTCATTTTCTCTTTTATCACCCACAATGCATTTCTTTCTCCAATTATTTTATTCCATATTCTCTTTTTATCATTCCATATGCACACAATATGGCACCTTTCACGATTATAGAGAACTTTCCTCGAAATGCATGGTTTCAAGCATGCAGAGATTGAGTTTTGGCTCTCCCTACCATCCTCTCTGCATACCAATGCTCACTAATCTTATCAACTAACCTGACAGATGCCTTGTTCTCTGGTGATGTCCTGTTTATTCTTCAAACCAAGCTGTTTCTTATTATGAGGGATCTGAGAGTAGTATTCCCGACTCATGATCAGCCTGGACATCTTAGCTTGACTAGTCTTTGTATCCAGACCTTCTTTGATCTGCAGTAGCAGGGATTCACCTTTCTCAATCTGAAGGATATTAAATTCCAAAAGAAATATGCATCACAAGTTAAACAGATAAGTTGAATGGACTGGTAAAAGTAGGTACATAATCTGACCAATAAGGAATAAAGTTATATATATTTGAAAGTTGAAATCATTCAATACCCATTATGGGATTCTGATGAACTGGCAATGTTTGTATGAATCTATGTAAGACAATGCATTTCTTTATATTTGAAGGGAAAAAAAGATCCCAAGGAAACAGAAGAACAAAAAGAGCTAAATCAAAGCAGGATCTAGTTTGTTAGGTTCTTGGTATATTGAGGTTTTGAGACTGTGGCAATGATCATTGCCAGAGGAGGAGAAAGACGAAGGTTACTTTGGATGAATTGCAGGAAGGATTGGCTTGAAGAGAAAGAGAAGTAAATGGATGGGGTAGAACTGATAAAGATGGCTACAGCATAATCACAAAACTCTTCATTAAAAGAGAAAAAGCTACCTGCTCATGCGTGACACTGGCCATGGGGCACGAAAGTATGTCATTGAGATGACCTACAGCTTCCAACCAGATCTGTTCAACAAGAGATACTACATCTGATGACAACTTCTCTCCAGCCAAACAACTAGCCTCAAACGAATCCTAAATCATTGCAGGGGGAAAAGACAATAATGCACTGTCCCTTTATCAAGCATTCTATGAAAATATTTCTACGGATCATTATTTGAAAAATGCTGAAAAATATATTTCATCACGTGGTTTACTGTTCAGTTAAAATGAAATTAACACATAAATGTTATTTGTGTGACACTTTTTAGACAATTAAAAACTCAATAAAAATTTGCAGTCATCGTAAAATAATGCTATGAATGAAAATACATTATATACCAAAGCATCCAGTAGTCCTTTGTAGATGTGCACTCTCATCTGAATGCACCCATTATTGTTCAGTAGCTTAGTATTGTCCAGTATCTTTTATTGCCCTTTAAACCCTGCTGTACATTCATTTAACCACCTATATGCATACTTTCTAAGTTTAGTTCACTTTCTGATGAAGCCTTTGGGCGAAACAGACAATTCAATTCAAGTCAAGGTATTTTATTTACTCACTGTAGCCAAAGGCAAGAAGAATAAACTAATCCAGTCTGCATATTAAATTCCAATTGAAGCTTCACGATTCTATTTTTTTTCAACTATTTCTGAATTTAGAGTGACATTAGGCATATACCTTTCTGAACGTAGGAGAACCTATCCATCTGGAGATGATTTTCTTGCACCGTTTCATCTTCCATGGTGGTTTGATGCGTTGTTCATATAACTGACGGTAGATATCAACTGCTGCTTGACTTGTCTTCAAATATCGACATTCTTTCACTCCACTCTCTTCATCCTGTCAAAATCATAAATGACCGCATTGATACTTTATCCAGGGTCTCATGTAAATCATAAATGACCACATTGATACTTTATCCAAGGTCTCATGTAAATCATAAATGACCACATTGATACTTTATCCAATGTCTCATGTAAATCATAAATGACCACATTGATACTTTATCCAAGGTCTCATGTATATCATAAATGACCACATTGATACTTTATCGAAGGTCTCATGTAAATCATAAATGATCACATTGATACTTTATCCAAGGTCTCATGTATATCATAAATGACCCCTGTGATACTTTATCCAAGGTCTCATGTAAATCATAAATGACCCCTGTGATACTTTATCCAAGGTCTCATGTATATCAATCATAAATGACCCCTGTGATACTTTATCCAAGGTCTCATGTATATCATAAATGACCCCTGTGATACTTTATCCAAGGTCTCATGTAAATCATAAATGACCCCTGTGATACTTTATCCAAGGTCTCATGTAAATCTTAAATGACCACATTGATACTTTATCGAAGGTCTCATGTAAATCTCAAATGATCACATTGATACTTTATCAAAGTTCTCATGTATATCAACATGGCATGAAGTATACTTCATTATGCTGCCTCATATATTCATTGGATTCAAACTGTAGTCCTAAAAATAGGTAGTTACTCAAGATATCAGGATCTTCATATAAGAACAGATCCTTGCTCTTTCATGAGATTATTTGAGAAATTGTGTTTTTCTACACATTTATAATCAGAGTTGTGACACACACTCACAAAACTATCCAGAACTTGACAACATTCTGTATGTCTTGTAGGTATTATAAAAGAATGGACTCTAGCGTTCTTACTTTGTTTATTTAAACAGAAGTCACATATACTGACATGTCAGATCTATTTTGGACAAAGGGGCGCTGAAACAGGAAATACAGTTAAAGAATGCTGAATGATCCAACATCTCAATTTGTACAGCCAAGGAAAACCAGGGTGAAATTGCATGGCGCTGAACGAGAATAATAATAATAATAATAATAATATTTAATTTTTATATAGCGCTTAATACAAATGTCTCTATAAAGCGCTTTACAAATTATAATGGAGTATCAAGTCTAACAGATATGAGCGCTATACAAGAACCCACTATTATTATTATAAGACACTTTATTTGCTTTTGGTTTTTACCTTCAGTTCTGTCACATCTCCATAATGTGAAAGCACCCTATACATAAAATCATTGTCTGGTTCCTCATCCCTTCTCTCTCCTATCTTCTTCTTAACTGCATGTAGCTCTAACTGATAAAAGGTATGTTTACCAGTCTTCCCATCTTTGATACTCTGAAATGACAACAATCCCATCAGTTACAAAACAAAAATTACTGCTATGAAAGAAAAAAAAACATTAGATAAAGACAAACAAACAAAATTTTATTCTGTACTAAACTTGTTAAACAAAAAATTACTCAGAGACTCAAGTTTGAACAGGTCTTTTTTTTTTGTGGCCACACATTTTCAATGCCTTTGGTATTTGAAAGCCAGATAATTTTCCCTTATAATGGAGTTACTCTCACAACGTATTGTTATATAATAAAGTACCATGTAAAGATAGATTGACAGATAGATACTCATGGTTATAGCTTGTAAACCAGAACGTCAATGACGTAGCGCTCATCCGCATCTCGCAACAACAAATATCTTAAATTTTATGTGGTACACTTTTGAACTGGTCAAAAAATTAAAATTTGATGCCCTGGAAGGGACATAATTTCATTTAGCTGTACAAGAACAAGATTAAATAGAAACTAAAGGAAATGTAATGAAAATTGGTTGAAAAATATATAGTTTTATGACAAGCAGGACTGCATAGAGGTATAGTGTACCAAAGTTAGCTCTATGATATAAAGCAAATCAAACCAAAATCGGTCAAAATATGAAGGAGAAGAAGCAATTTTTGTGATTTTTTTAAAAATAATTTTTGGAATAAATTTGGATAAAGTACCATAAATAATCAATGGAGCAAAGTCTCACAATTCTGTGTAGAAATTAAGTGTTCCAAATTTAGCTCTACCAGATAAGGCAAACCAAATCAAAATCGGTCAAGAAATGAGGGAGAAGAAGCAATTATTTTTGGAATAAATTTGCATAAATTACCATAATTAATTAATGGAGAACAATTTCAAAATGCTGTGTAGAAGTTTAGTGTACCAAAGATAGCTCTACGATATAAAGCAAACCAAATCAAAATCGGTCGGGAAATGAAGGAGAAGAAGCATTTTTTGTGATTTCGAATAAATTTGCATAAATTAGCATAGATAATAAATTTCACGATTCTGTGTAGAAGTTTTAAATCCCCCTCCTAGCCCTATCAAATGAAACAATCAGAATCAAAATCGGTTGAATAATAACGAAGAAGAAGCATTTTGAAAACTGTGGCGCCAGGACGGAATGACGGACGGACGGACGCCACGCCATGGCATAAGCTGATCGGGGCCTTCGTGCCAGATGAGCTAAAAATGGGGGATGCCCCTTTGACAATAATAAATCTTGCTTTCCTGACTTTCCACTGTATTCAGCATTACTGTACATTCCCATATTGCAACATCATTATAACTGATGCTCTAGAGAACTCTTAAAATCAAATCTTTTCTGCATATGCAACATTCAGAGGAAGTGCATCATCTCTGATGTTTCTTGCTTGCATAAAATATCCCAAGTACAGGGTGGCATTGTAAAGAAAACCAAACAGGCTTACAGATGATAACAAATACATTAATAATAATGAGAAATGGAATACAAGTTTCAACATTATAGCGAGTTTAAACAGCATTTCAATGATGGGTAGAACTAACTTGAAATTTGCACCAAAAATTGTTGATAGAATGAAACTTAATGTACACCTGAAAGAAAGGTTTCAGTAATAAATATCAGAGAATGAACATAATCTTGAAATGTATCTGAACCTGTGTGAATGTAGTAGTCCAGCTATAGCTGGAGAATCAAATCAATGATTTGAAAATGAATAGAAATATGATCTGAGGTAGAAATAAAGATGAAAACTTACATCCAGAAGAAGAGTTCTTGCAACAAGATAATCTCCTTCTGAGGGAAACTCTGGAGCATTTGGGGCATTCCATGGATATACTCTGAGGAAGATATGTAGGGAATGAAGACTTTTGGATATCCAAACCACACAGAACATGAATAAAGAAAATTGTAAACATGAGAGCAGTGTTATATAAAGAGTTGTAATTGATATCAGCTTGTGATTGATTCATATCAATTGTAGCTCTTTACAAGTAAGGACCCTGGTCCGGTGTTTGAATGAGAAGTCACCTCACCCATATCAACAAATTTGCTTCTCTTTTCCATGTCTCAATAAACATTGTCATATTTTCGAAAGGCTTTTCACTAATTGAATATTGAATGAATGAACACATATTTTAGATTACACATTACAAATTTTCAAGAAAGAGAAGTGAGTTAGTTCTATACTTTGTAGTTTGTACAGTATTTTCCAATATGTGCCTGTGTTTACCAAATGTACTTGTAAATCACAACAAGATATATTTGACTGCACGTCGTCTCCATGAAATTCTCACTTGCACACATTTCACTAGAAGCTTATTGTGCTATGACCTTTGACCTCTTACTCAAAACTAATCAGTTCATCCTTGCACGCTGATTCATACTTTCATTAACGTTTTATTTTAATTACTTCAATGCATTTCTAGGTTATCGCGGTAATGAGATAGTTCACCCTCAAAGAGCTGCTCCCTTGACCCTCTACCAACATGGCTGTTGAAGAAACATCTGAGAATTGTATTTCCTGAACTTGTTCACCTTACCAGGTTCTGTCTATTGGTGCCTACAGATCTCAAAGAAGCGCTAGTGATACCAGTCATCAAGAAAGCATCACTAGATAGAAATGATCTGCGGAGCTATCGCCCTGTGCCAAATATACCATTTCGGTCTCAGATTATCGAGCGAATAATGCTTAGACAACTTACTGAGCACATCCAGGATAATGGACTTGCTGAGCCTATGCAATCGGCATACAAAGAACACCATAGCACTGAAACAGCACTACTTAAGATTCAGACGGATTTACTTCAAACCATTGACAGTCAGAAAGGAGTAATGATGGTGCTGCTTGACCTGTATGCTGCATTTGACACAGTGGACCATAAGATTCTGCTGAATCGTCTTGAAGACCATTTTGGTATTATCCATTCTTACCTTGAAGACCAGAATAGCTATGTTCTAATCTCTGGTCAGCTTTCAAAAGCTTGTACATTACCACATGGAATTCCACAAGGTTCTGTCATCAGACCATTGTTTTTCACCTATTACTTTCGTCCCATTGGTGATATTCTTTGGGCTCATGGTGTATTCTTTCACATGTATGCAGATGACATTCAGATCTATGTGATGTTTGACTCAACTGATCCAGTTGCAATTGATGCTGGGCTTGGCAGACTCAGTAGTTGTATTACTGAAATTCAGCGTTGGATGAATGCGAACAAGCTCAAACTCAACGATGGCAAGACTGGATTCTTTGTCTCTGCTTCACCACATCATCGATCATCTCATCTGATGATTGCTATCAGACTGATGATTGGTGAGAAATCCTTCCAACCATGTAAGACCATCCGCAATCTGGGAGTAACACTTGAACCTTCTGTGAACTTAAGTCTTCATGTCAACCTTCTCAGCAGAAGCATCAAGTACCACCTACGTAACCTGTGGAGGGTGAGGCGGTTTATCAATTAGTCAACATGCCACGCTGTGGCGAGGGCTCTTGTCCTTTCCAGACTAGACTACTGCAACAGTCTCTTCAGTGTTCTCAGCCAGAGAGACCTTGATCACCTTCAGAGACTACAAAACTCAGCCGCAAGGCTTGTCTTTTCTGCTCCTCTTCAGACTCACATACAACCTCTTTGACTTCATTGGCTGCCTATACGACAGAGAATAGCTTTTAAGATCCTACTACTGGTCTACAAGTCTTCCATCCACCGATGTCCCCCGTACATAGCTGACTGCTTGGTTCGTCGCCCTTGAGTCCGAAATACCAGCTCATCATCATCCATTTGGCTCACTCAGTGTCTCTCTAAGAAATGTGCTGGTGAATTGTCTTTTCCATCAGTTGCTGCAAAACTGTTGAACCAGCTATCTACCGCTGTGCAGATGGCCTCATCTGTTGGCCAGTTCAAGAAACTACTCAAGTCACATATATTCTGCTAGAAATTACTTTATTACCAGCCTTCATATACTTTGCTGATCTCTGAGAAGTGTCTAACTTTTGTATTTAAGTGGCCCAAACATTGTGGAGCATGTGTGCAGCGCTTTGTAACTGCAAGGAAAAGGCACTACAGCTGTATATCAAATATCTTTTGGATTGGATTGGATTATGGCCTGCTTCAACACCTTTAGGACCCTGGAAACATAATGTCTCAGGCACTTCCTTTGGTTGTGGAAGCATTAAAATAATAATTATTTTAATTAGAAATAGCTCCTTTTATTTGCTTTTCTTGTTATTTTCAAGGCCAAAGCTTATTGGCATACAGTGTACATAAGTGCATGTGCCTTTAAAGAAAATAGATGAGATATTAAACAAAGGGTAAATTAGATGAATGTGCACCATAGCCCTGTCTCAGAAAAATAGAATGAGTTGCAATTGATCCAAATAAACTGATTACAAAGTTACCCTAACCCCCAATCAATCAAAATCAATCATCCCTTTCAGTAGGACCCTATACATTCAATGCATGTTATCAGTTGCAATCAATTATGATCAATCATAACTCTTTTAATAGAAGACAATGAATAGCTCAGAAAACATACCTAACAGAGCGTAAATCCAGATGAAATGCTCTCTTCTTGATGATCAAGTCTTTGTCTTTCCTCTGGCGAATACCTGGAAGACCAAAATCAAACAAACAAGTAATGTATCTTCTCTTTTATATACATGTACATATGTTATCATTGATTTTATAACCTTGAAAATGACATCACTACCATAATTTAGGTAAAGCAGGTCTTGATGCAGAATTTAATTCAATTATTTTAGATCATTGATGCACTTATTGTACAAAATGTACAATATAAATAGAATTACTATAAAATATTTCAATCAGATTGTGTAAATAATTTTAATGTACATAGTGTATATTTGTTTGAATTATTTTTGTGTATATATATTTCATAACAGAATTGAGTTATTGTTAGTGCAAATCAAAAACAATTCTTTATGATTCAATGTTTACTCTTATTGATTGGCATTCAATTATGGTGTATTTAACGGGCCAAGCTTCACTAGCCCTTGCTATATTTGTTGGCTCTATGAAAATGCTCTCAGCATGTGTGCAGTCGCAAAGGTACTCTGAATTGTTCCCAGTCAATGATACAACTCATAACATGAATCTCTGTACAAGCAGAAAGTACAAAAATGTTCATGCCAGGACCAAACGGTACCAGAACAGCCCCGTCACATTCTTGAGTTCTTGTCTTAATGAATAAAATCAGTTGGTTGTGTGAGAGGGGTGAATAATAAATTAATAATAATAGATAATAATGATGAATAATGAATAATAATGATAATGAATAATGCCTGAGGCTACATTTGTACATGTTTGGTATTTTCTAATATTTCTTTCGTTCTCCTGACTAAATTACAATATAACAAGGTAAATATAATTATGTAGCCTGAAAAAATATGAAAAGATAAGTATGTAAATAAGTATAGAAATAAGTTGCTCTTGATCAAAGTTAAAAGTCCATTCCAATTTTTTTCTTCTTTCTTTTAATGAAATTCATGAATTATATTTGTTCTTACTGTTCAAAACAAACGCAAATACTCCTTCAACTACAGACGAGATATCATAAAGAAATTTTCTGGAAATAGGCTAAGAACACTGTATATATTTATGTTCTCAGATTAACTATCATATTTCATGAAATGAGTTAGAGAAAGAAAAATGTGAAGATACCTGAAATCTTGCCATGTCCAAACCTTGATTGAGCCTGTGTAACAACAACCAAGTATGGAGTCGGATTGAGTAATCGTGACGCAGCCACACAGTCATCCAAGTAAGATGTACCGACGATAGGGATGTTCAGCTTCTGTGCCTTGTTACATTTATGAGAGAATCCTCCTCTTTTACTTTCATCTACTATCATATGGGTAGTCTACAAAAAACAAGAAAAAGTTAGGAAAAATCAATGCAGAAATAGAGACTAGTACAATATGGCACTACTGTGCAGGTGGCCAGTAGATTCAGATTCACATAAACTTATTTCAGCTTTTACTAAAAGGCAGGTTATGTCCTACAAGTTGGCCAAAATTAGATGCAGTATCTTTGTATGGTGTCTTCAAGTGGTGTTTTTTTTAATTGATGTACACATACGCTATAACATGACAAGAAACAATGAACATGCAAACAGAGGCCTGGGACCCGTTTCACAAAGCTATTTTTTCAATGACAAATGACATAAATCAGTGACAAATCTGCTGATAACCAATCATAAGCTAGAATTTTAGTAGCTTACAACAAAAACTGTCATTTGTCACTGATGACAAGTTTTGTGGAATGGGGCCCTGGTCCAATGACATTACTCCTGAAACCAACAAAGATCTTAGAATGGAACCCTGAATGAGGGAACTTTTAACTACTGTAATTCACTTCAGACTTCACCTTCATGGAAAATATGTTCTTAAAAATAAATAATAATAATATAGGCCTATATGTATTTTTATTTGTTGGATAGACCAGATATTGGATTAACTCTCTCGTTTAGTATAACTTGAATACTTGGAGACCACTTCTTCTTATTTGCTATAAGTATGTAGAGGCCAGGGTAGGGTGTTTTCTGATCGATGTAGGTGACTGACATACCTTGTTATTGAGTGAGTAGGCCACAGTACCACTGTGATGGGTAATCTTTGTCTTCAATCCCTGACGAACTTTGTAGCTGACCTTGATGGCATCAAGGTCAAATACAATCTGACATTTGTCAAAGACCCCCATCATGGAGATACTCAAGAAATCAGCGGTAAAATCTAAAAGACAATTAAAAAAGTATATTACTGCCCAAGCAGAAAAGTGTTAAAGTTGATGTTCTAAGTCAATCCCAAATATTGAGATAATTACATCAATAAAAAGCTTTTAACCCTCAGAATAACACTGGTGTCCAACTGACAAAAACAAGTTTAGAATGGTGACTTTATGCGAGTAAACTCTACCAAAATATCTAAGTCTGAAACACGGAGGTGCATGTAGAGTCGGGCCTCTATCTGTGACGTCATGAACGGGACTCATGGGCTTAGTGAGAGTGAATGGCAGTGATATCCCTACGTAAATACTATCCTGTCAGAGCTTAGATTTGTTGTTGTTAATGAGTATATTTGATGGATTTTCTGTTTTCATTTGAATGAAGAATAACGAAGCAACATTTTCCAGTCGCTGATTTGCTTTTATATCCTCATATTCACCTACTTGGTAGAGATTTAAGACGAATTTACTGCTTGGGAAACAAAGGTAAATCATGCGCGTATGAATATTAAAGCGGATGCATTATCTTGTCATCAGAAAAGGTACAGGAGCAGTTTTAAAACGAATAGGCCTAGAACTACGATAGTACTTATCATAGATGTGTGTGACTGCCTCAAAAAAGGATACAGTACCAGTTAAACATTTTATGTTGTAAAATATCAAACTTGAAAATTATTGGGATTACTTCTCGGTATTTAGATCTAGAGGTCTATAACAGCTGCATTTTTCTGTCTCAGAATTTTTTTTAAGGTAGAAGTTAATGTTAATAATAATAATAATAAGTTATAATGATAATAATAAAATAATGTTGGTTTGTTTTTGACATTTTCATTGATCTTTCAGGAAAAGAGTGTATGATTTATCATTAAATATGATTACGTATGCATTTCTTGCTCAATATTATGTTATTACTTGTTGTTATTCTCTTAATTCTGTATAATTTGTCTCTTTTTTTAATATTTTTTTTTACTTCCCTCTGTTTTATTCTCTCTCTTTAATATTAGAATGTAAAGATAGGCCAAAGATACATAGCAGCATATTCCTACCATTAAAAGTTTCCCGAGACAGAAAATGAACTTAAAATCGAGAAGTTATCTGTCGATCGTAGTCGTACACCTTGGCCCGAATTCACAAAGCAAGGTTTGAGCTCAGACCAAGGTTTGACCTCAAACCTCCTTTTGTTTCGCCAAACCTCCTTTTGTTATTTACAAACCTGGTTTGTAAATAACAAAGGGAGGTTTGGCGAAACAAAAGGAGGTTTGAGCTCAAACCTTGGTCTGAGCTCAAACCTTGCTTTGTAAATTCGGGCCCTTGGGTTTGTCCAAAATCTGAAAATAGATTCTTGTTGCGGGTCTTGTTGCAAGCGCAAGGAAAATCATCTTTATTCGTTAGAACAGCTCTCAAAATACTCACAATTTCCATGTTTCCTGTCATGACTGTGTTTATAAAAGAATAATGATACATTTAACAATGACAATTTCATCTAAGAAGAGGGATTTTAGATCTAGAAATCACGAGGGGAAAAAGTGTGGCGAGTTGTCCGAAAAGGCACCCCACCCGGGACAACTCGCCCGTGGCGAGTTGTCCAGGGTATTGTGGCGAGATGTCCAGGGTATTGCAGGGCTGCCAACCTTTGGAAAGAGTTTGGAGTGAGACATTGCGAGGGAGCGAAGCGACCAAGCCCGAGGGCGCGAAGCGCCGGAGGAGGGGATGGTATGGAAGGGGGGTGTCCCCCCTTGCACGGTAGGGAGCTTTTACAATTTTGCAATTGAAATGGTGCAATCTGGTGCATACTTTAACCCTGATTCCATAAATACATAAGGCAGGATTCAAATAGGTTAATTGATTTCATGAAGTACACTGACTTTGAAAAAATATAAACTTCCACATTTGTAAGTGCATTATTCCAAATCAACTGTCTTTATAAGCTTAGCTGGCTGGCTGGCTGACTGGCTGGAATGCTCCCCAGGGAGTGGAAAATGTGCACACATTGTGTGCGGGTAAGCCTGAATCCGATGACCAGGGTAACAATATATCTGTAAAGCGCTTAGGCACATCGTTGGATCAGTGTATTGAGCACTATATACAAAAATAGATTATTATTATTATTATTATTAGCAGTTGAACCTCAACCTCAACACTGAGCCACCCGGGCCGGGCCGGGCCGGGCTGGGCTGGAGGCCAGGCGCGATGTACAGCGATGACAGGCCATGGCATCGACACTCGCTTGTCGTGTCTCGCACAAAAACCCCGCTTCATAGTAAAGTGACGACATCACTCGCACACGCAGGATAAGCCAATCGCAATTCACTACCTTGTCTTTGCGCGGCAAACCGAAACCAATTTGCATTGATGGTTTAGCTTTGCGCATGTGTGGTTAAAAGAATGTTGAAACTTTCGGCAGGGATATTGAATAGATCTATCCGATATTATAGGTCCAATAGACATTTTTTTTTTAGTTTCTATTTTCGGGGTTCAGCGTGAGAATTCCTATGATCAGCGTGAGAGCGTGAGAATTGGGTGATTTGCAGGAGACTCAGCAGATTGCGTGAGAGTTGGCAGCCCTATATTGTGGCGGGTTGTCTTGGGGCGGGTTGTCTTTGTGGCGAGTTGTCTGGACCGGTGGACCCCCATTTGTTACATAAGTCACATAGCACTGCTCTATGAGATTTGGCAACTGCATTGTGGCATTCTCCACGGGGGTATTTTACTGGGCCTGGGTTAGGTTGGCAATCTCCAGACAGAATTATCATCAGGAGAATGACTGTATCCTCTTCCTTCTCTTATACATCGGTTTTATTCTTGGGAGCCCTGCCCTACAGGATTGCCATGTAGAATTCATCAAAAGAGAAGTGGGCCTAAATCTAAGACTAAGAAATGAGGGTGTCTTGGTGGCAGACACATTGACATTTGAATATCCATCCTCTCCACATAAAACATTATTTAGTTGACTAAGAAAGAGCAGGATGAGTAGGAATTGTACAAAGTCTCTCTAATCCAGTCTCTTTAATCCAGTCTCTCTAGACTAGATCTAAGTCTAATCATCGGTTGTTCCACTGAGACTGCGTCTGGCTTCACTAGATCTAGGGTCTAGACTAGACCGAATTTTTCTGTCTCTTTCGTTCGTTAGCCTCTGATTTGGGTAGGTCGGCTCTCTCTTTACCGACCTACCCAAATCAGAGGCTAACGAACGAAAGAGACAGAAAAATTCGGTCTAGAGCTAGGGTCTAGATCTAGACCTCCGATTATATGGGGAATGTCAACAAATGTCAGTTTTATTAAAGAAATGACCCATATCAGACGGTTATTTCTGTCTAAGTCAGCTAGGCTCAACACTCAACATCACAACATTGATATTATAGGTCTAACAGTCTAGGCCTAGATCTAGGCCTAGATCTATCCAACTAATTTCAACTATCCAAGACCAAGTCTCAGAGTCAGAACACTTTATTAATTATTAATTATAATTACCGACTCATGTGAATAACATCATTCATTACCGCCGGGGAGTCTGCTCCGATCTCTGCAACTCGCAGAAATAGCCGTCCGGCTGGAGGAGTTTTGGCCGGAGTTTTATAATATCTTGAATTTTAAGGAGAAAGATTCGTTAGAGCCCGACGTACGACAGCAGCGCTGATATGATGTGCAGTGCTAGTACGTGTTAGTGCTAGTGCCAAGTCAGGAAGTGCAGTGAATTAATTGAGCTAGCTGAGCAATTGCCTCATTGTCTAAAAATAGAATATGACGACAAGCAAAACACGGAAGTGACATAATACCGTACACGGCTCAGTTTTATCATTGCAGCCGAGCACTGTGTCGATCATCCATCCAGGGAGATGATGGTTCATGTTTTTTGAGGCCCATTTTAGACCAAAAAGAAAAAAAAAAAAGAAAAAAATACATGAATTCAATTATTAAGGCTGCACAATAATGCACCAGACTGTGGTCTGTACTTCAGACGTCATCGTCATCGAAGAAGAATTTATCATAATAAACCAGAGTATAGTAATTATAATTAGATCTAGACTCTATAGTGATTTGGAAATGAGCAGAATCCTTAGGCTTGTACTGGCATGTATAGGGGGTGCAAACAAAAAGAGTAAAACACGTTGGATTGAAGATTAGGAAACAAAATAACAAAATAAACTGAATAAGTAAGCCGGATAAGAGAAAAAAATCATAAGAAAATAGACACCATACACACAGGTTTTGAAAAGTTAATGATTGCATAACCGTGGTAAAGAAATTCATCTGGTCCACCTGGTTAATGATTAAAAACCAATACAAATCTCCCATGGAGCTGGGTTGAACAAACCATTGTTTAGATACCGATGACTTAGAGCAACGTCGGCATCCAACTGATCCAAGGATGTTCTTTGATGTAACCAGGCGCGGATTCAGGATTTCTTAGGGGTCGGGGCCCAAATTTGAAATTATGCGAGCATATTATTAGTACGTAATGGTGATCAGCAATGCATTGACGTAATGGGAGGGGTGCAGGGAGGGGCGATTTCCCCCCTCCCTCCTCCGCAAAGCGCCGATCGAAGCTTTGACGTTTCATTAAATTATTAGAGAGAATTAGACGATTCGCTGTACCATTCTCGAAAATAATCCTCGTCAGAATACAGTTTTCCCCCTCCCGCACGACGGCGCAGAAGCTTTTACGTTTCGTTAAATCATTAGAGAAAGAATACGATTCGTTGTACCGTTCTCGACTCTTATCCTTGTCTAAATTCAGTTCCCCCACCTAGCTCCTACGCGGAAGCGTTGACATTTCATTTAATTATGAGAGAAAGAAGACGATTCGTTGTACCGTTCTCGAAAATAATCCTCGTCTGAATTAAGTTTCTGCCCTCCCGTGCGAAGCGCAGAATCTTTTACGTTTCATTAAATCACTAGAGAAAGAAGACGATTCGTTGAACCGTTCTCGACTCTTAATCCTCGTCTGAATCAATTCCCACCCCCCTCCCGTGCGAAGCGCGGAAGCTTTTACGTTTCATTAAATCATTAGAGAAAGAAGACGATTCGTATTACCATTCTCGACTCTTAATCATTGTATGACTTCAGTTCCCCCCCCCCCCCTTAAGCGAAACGCGGAAGCTTGACGTTTCATTAAATTATTAGAGAAAGAAGACGATTCGTTGTACCATTCTCGACTCTTAATCCTCGTCTGAATTCAGTCCCCCCCCCCCCCTCCTGCGCGAAGTGCGGAAACTTTGACGTTTCATTAAATCATTAGAGAAAGAAGACGATTCGTATTACTATTCTCGACTCTTAATCCTTGTATGACTTCAGTTCCCCCGTCCCTCTTGCGCGAAGCGCGGAAGCTTTGACGTTTCATTAAATTATTAGAGAAAGAAGACGATTCGTTGTACCATTCTCGACTCTTAATCCTTGTCTGAATTCAGTCCCCCCCCCCCGGCCCCCCCCCCCTCCCCCCTCCTGCGCGAAGTGCGGAAACTTTGACGTTTCATTAAATCATTAGAGAAAGAAGACGATTCGTATTACCATTCTCGACTCTTAGTCCTTGTCTGAATTCAGCCCCCCCCCCCCTCTTGGACGAAGCGCGGAAGCTATGACGTTTCATTAAATTATTAGAGAAAGAAGATGATTCGTTGTACCATTCTCGACTCTTAATACTTGTCTGAATTCAGTCCCCCCCCCCCCGCCCCCCCCCCCCCCCTCCTGCGCTAAGTTCGGAAATTTTGACGTTTCATTAAATCACTAGAGAAAGAAGACGATTCGTTGAACCGTTCTCGACTCTTAATCCTCGTCTGAATCAATTCCCCCCCCCCCCTCCCGTGCGAAGCGCGGAAGCTTTTACGTTTCATTAAATCATTAGAGAAAGAAGACGATTCGTATTACCATTCTCGACTCTTAATCATTGTATGACTTCAGTTCCCCCCCCCCCCTTAAGCGAAACGCGGAAGCTTTGACGTTTCATTAAATTATTAGAGAAAGAAGACGATTCGTTGTACCATTCTCGACTCTTAATCCTCGTCTGAATTCAGTCCCCCCCCCCCCCCCTCCTGCGCGAATAGCGGAAACTTTGACGTTTCATTAAATCATTAGAGAAAGAAGACGATTCGTATTACTATTCTCGACTCTTAATCCTTGTATGACTTCAGTTCCCCCGTCCCTCTTGCGCGAAGCGCGGAAGCTTTGACGTTTCATTAAATTATTAGAGAAAGAAGACGATTCGTTGTACCATTCTCGACTCTTAATCCTTGTCTGAATTCAGTCCCCCCCCCGGCCCCCCCCCTCCCCCCTCCTGCGCGAAGTGCGGAAACTTTGACGTTTCATTAAATCATTAGAGAAAGAAGACGATTCGTATTACCATTCTCGACTCTTAATCATTGTATGACTTCAGTTCCCCCCCCCCTTAAGCGAAACGCGGAAGCTTTGACGTTTCATTAAATTATTAGAGAAGGAAGACGATTCGTTGTACCATTCTCGACTCTTAATCCTCGTCTGAATTCAGTCCACCCCCCCCCCCCCTCCTGCGCGAAGTGCGGAAACTTTGACGTTTCATTAAATCATTAGAGAAAGAAAACGATTCGTATTACTATTCTCGACTCTTAATCCTTGTATGACTTCAGTTCCCCCGTCCCTCTTGCGCGAAGCGCGGAAGCTTTGACGTTTCATTAAATTATTAGAGAAAGAAGACGATTCGTTGTACCATTCTCGACTCTTAATCCTTGTCTGAATTCAGTCCCCCCCCCGGCCCCCCCCCCTCCCCCCTCCTGCGCGAAGTGCGGAAACTTTGACGTTTCATTAAATCATTAGAGAAAGAAGACGATTCGTATTACCATTCTCGACTCTTAATCATTGTATGACTTCAGTTCCCCCCCCCCTTAAGCGAAACGCGGAAGCTTTGACGTTTCATTAAATTATTAGAGAAGGAAGACGATTCGTTGTACCATTCTCGACTCTTAATCCTCGTCTGAATTCAGTCCACCCCCCCCCCTCCTGCGCGAAGTGCGGAAACTTTGACGTTTCATTAAATCATTAGAGAAAGAAAACGATTCGTATTACTATTCTCGACTCTTAATCCTTGTATGACTTCAGTTCCCCCGTCCCTCTTGCGCGAAGCGCGGAAGCTTTGACGTTTCATTAAATTATTAGAGAAAGAAGACGATTCGTTGTACCATTCTCGACTCTTAATCCTTGTCTGAATTCAGTCCCCCCCCCCCGGCCCCCCCCCCCCCTCCTGCGCGAAGTGCGGAATCTTTTACGTTTCATTAAATCACTAGAGAAAGAAGACGATTCGTTGAACCGTTCTCGACTCTTAATCCTCGTCTGAATCAATTCCCACCCCCCCTCCCGTGCGAAGCGCGGAAGCTTTTACGTTTCATTAAATCATTAGAGAAAGAAGACGATTCGTATTACCATTCTCGACTCTTAATCATTGTATGACTTCAGTTCCCCCCCCCCCTTAAGCGAAACGCGGAAGCTTGACGTTTCATTAAATTATTAGAGAAAGAAGACGATTCGTTGTACAATTCTCGACTCTTAATCCTCGTCTGAATTCAGTCCCCCCCCCCCCTCCTGCGCGAAGTGCGGAAACTTTGACGTTTCATTAAATCATTAGAGAAAGAAGACGATTCGTATTACTATTCTCGACTCTTAATCCTTGTATGACTTCAGTTCCCCCGTCCCTCTTGCGCGAAGCGCGGAAGCTTTGACGTTTCATTAAATTATTAGAGAAAGAAGACGATTCGTTGTACCATTCTCGACTCTTAATCCTTGTCTGAATTCAGTCCCCCCCCCCGGCCCCCCCCCCCCCCTCCTGCGCGAAGTGCGGAAACTTTGACGTTTCATTAAATCATTAGAGAAAGAAGACGATTCGTATTACCATTCTCGACTCTTAGTCCTTGTCTGAATTCAGCCCCCCCCCCCCCCCTCTTGGGCGAAGCGCGGAAGCTATGACGTTTCATTAAATTATTAGAGAAAGAAGATGATTCGTTGTACCATTCTCGACTCTTAATACTTGTCTGAATTCAGTCCCCCCCCCCCGCCCCCCCCCCCCCCCCCCTCCTGCGCTAAGTTCGGAAATTTTGACGTTTCATTAAATCACTAGAGAAAGAAGACGATTCGTTGAACCGTTCTCGACTCTTAATCCTCGTCTGAATCAATTCCCCCCTCCCTCCCGTGCGAAGCGCGGAAGCTTTTACGTTTCATTAACTCATTAGAGAAAGAAGACGATTCGTATTACCATTCTCGACTCTTAATCATTGTATGACTTCAGTTCCCCCCATCCCTTAAGCGAAACGCGGAAGCTTTGACGTTTCATTAAATTATTAGAGAAAGAAGACGATTCGTTGTACCATTCTCGACTCTTAATCCTCGTCTGAATTCAGTCCCCCCCCCCCCCTCCTGCGCGAATAGCGGAAACTTTGACGTTTCATTAAATCATTAGAGAAAGAAGACGATTCGTATTACTATTCTCGACTCTTAATCCTTGTATGACTTCAGTTCCCCCGTCCCTCTTGCGCGAAGCGCGGAAGCTTTGACGTTTCATTAAATTATTAGAGAAAGAAGACGATTCGTTGTACCATTCTCGACTCTTAATCCTTGTCTGAATTCAGTCCCCCCCCCCCCCCGGCCCCCCCCCCCTCCCCCCTCCTGCGCGAAGTGCGGAAACTTTGACGTTTCATTAAATCATTAGAGAAAGAAGAC